ATCTTTAGTGGTTTACCATTCTCTTATGAGATTAACTAATTGGATAAAAATAATTTATATCGAAAACACACTTACTGGACAGTATAACAAAATTAAAATTATTTCAATATTTGTCACAGAAAAAAAGTTCTGGCCCACTATAAGAGAGTAAGAAATTGACACTATTTCAGACTTCTAAGGGGTGCCAAATAAAAGTAAAGCAAAAAAAAATTAAAACGGCAAAGGATTTTCATATTTGACACCTAAAAGATCATCCTCAAATTTTTTCATCAAAATAAAAAATCACGCAGCGCACCCCATTTGGTGTTTTTATTTGGAATGACTCTATATGTAAAATTATTAAAGCGATTTTCTTTTTTATTTTGCCTTTACAAACTTAGAATATTGAGTCAACATTTCTTAGTAATTATTTTAAAACTGCAAGAAATCTTGTTAACATTTTTTTTTACTACTTCAATGTAAATATAATTCAACCGAGAGTACGACTGTTAATTTAACTCATACGGAAAGTTAAATGAATTGTCTAAATGTTGTATATTACGTCGTTATATAGCGCAGCATGTTCTGCCCTTCTCTTTTTCTATCTCTTCCACCACGCCATTGTTCGTTCTAGTGTCGTTTGGGTACAATTTACAGTAAAAAAACCTTGTTTAATAATATTGTTTTGTAATAATTAAAGACGAAGCTAAGTTTATAGTAATATTTTCTCGCGTTACCATGCTTGTGAGATGATTATTACCTACCTACCTACAATGTAGGTCCTACATGTAGGTACATATTTAAATATAGCATTCATAATAATATTCATAATTAACTTTTATAGCAATGGAATCGTTATTAGACAAATGGGGATTTGCTAACCTAATTGATGTTTTTAAAGGTAGGTTTATTTTATTGTAATATTATTTTACCATAAAATAAACTTTATTGTAGGACAAGATATCGATGAGGAAAAATGCCGAACTTTTAAAATACTGAATTACAAAAAAAGGTCCTCGAATAAGGTTTTAAAGAAATAGGACAAAAAAACTATTACGGTTAAGTAGTTAGGGGTGTCAATCCCGGGATCCCGAAATCCCGGGGTCCCAAGATCCTGTATAAAATCCGATCCCGAAAATCCAGGGATCAAAAGTCCTAATCCCGGGATCTTAGTAATAAGTTACAAAGAATAAAATATACTTTTTTTAAGCGTATGACAATTTTTATATTACTCATAAGAATAATTCATTTTTGTACGCAGTCCAAAAGTAAAATTATTATACACCGCCAAAAATAATGCATAGCAAAGCATAAAATCGGCAAAAAAACTGTAAAATTACAGGCCACTGTAGAATAAATTCATGTACATAACCTATAATATAACATATTTCAAACGTCAAACCTGAAAAAATTTCACAAACTAGATAATTTCAATGTAAGTTACAGCCCCAATTGGAACTCACCAAGGCCCGATTGATAAAAGAAATGGAATTATTTGTTAATGGGGGTAGAAGTGGGTACAATGTGCCTACGAATTCTTGAAAACCTTTCCTCCAACTAGTGTAAAGTCCGAAAGATATCGTTCGTTGGTTTGTTTGTTCCTTTATTTTAAATTGGTTTTAAAATTAACGATATATATTTTTTCGGGACTGATCCCGGGATCCCGGGATTAGTTACCTTTGGTCCCGAAAGTCCCGGGATAAGAAAAAGGGCTCGGGATTGACACCCCTATAAGTAGTGTATACATATTCAAGTATTGAATACATATTTAAGTAGTGTATTCAATTAAACTTTTTTTTGTTGTTAAAACTATAGGGTTTAAAAAAAATTAAAAAAATCGTATTTTTTTATTAAAATCAACTATTTTTGATTTTAATTAAATTTTTTATACAAAAAATCTCGTCCTAACACTTAAAGTGATAGGTTGGCTGCGATCGTTAACGAGAGCCCTCCTAAGCAGTGTAAGCGATACAAGCGCAAGTACCAAAAACGAATATAGGAATCCGGCAAGTTATCGGAGGAAAATAAAAATTAAACAAACAAGAAAGAAATAAATAAATGATTATGATAAGTTTTAAAAGTGCAGGTGGCCCCCGGTTAAGTCACAAAGTGCTATAACGTCGTAGAAGTTTGTGAGAGAGTGAGTGATTAAGGTTAGGTCACACCGATAAGCTGCCTGACCACCTGACTACAGGCGATTGCCAAGGAACGCGGACTGACGGCTAGGGATAGGAAAACAGAATTCAATTGTAATTAGTCCAGCTAAGAAATTTATACCCAAACTTCGCAATTTTATTACCAAAAATGTTATCTGGCTTCAGAAAACGAAACAGGTCCCTACACTGAGAAAAGTAAACTATTTCAAGTTTTAATTATCAACTAAACAGAATTTGCACATTTAATACGACCAATGCGCATACTTGTTTATTTAAAAGTCTACAGTCTTTACATTCAAATCGTACAGTTTTTGAATATACATTTTTATTACTACAAAAATGTACAAAGATTTCAATTAATGCACTTCAGACAGTAAATTATTGAAAAATCTCTAATATAAGCACTCTTATAATTTTAATTAAAAATAAGAACCTTTTTCTCAGTGTAGACAACCCATAAACAACTTAAACAAATAGAAAAAGGCGTAAGAGTAAATAAACCAATCAAGCAGGAACGAAACAAAATTTAGATTTTATAAATAAGTGTTGTGTGTGGGTAATAGGTATATAATATTCATTTAAATATGGGCATTAACTAAGATACCATTGGTATCATACCAAATCATAAATCAAAGCTTAAAATAAACAAAAGCCTAAAAAGTAAACATCACAGAAGATAAGAAGAGTGACCCTCTCTAAAGCCACTTCAAGGCCGGCTTTATCTATTATGTATATTAATATTTTATTTTTAAATTAAATTTTAAAAAAATGACAAAAAATAAATTAAATGTAAACGGTAGAAATTTAACATAAAATAAATAAAGAATATACAAGGTCGGTAACCGGCACTCGGCATGAGGAATATCCACCAAGGCAGAGGGCACTTACAACGGGTCGTGGCCGTCAACACTTCGGTACTGAAGGCAAGATTCAGTATCTCACATTGGGGCAAAAAATTCTAAAGAGGTTACCAGGAACCGGAAACTGACTCGGACAAAGACGTTCAGAAATACACCAACAAGGACAGGTTCTAGCAGCGTACTAACACTTCTACCCCAATTCATGAATCCCAATTGAATGGGGTTATTACTAAAGCCCCGGTTGAGGAGGATTTCGGATTGTACTTGGTTTTGGGTCAGTTCAATGTCCTCCAAAAACCAACTTTTACCCTCCTTGTCCCGCTCTCCACTAGCCTAAACTGGGCGTATGGCCCGACCCGGCAACAAAAATCCGGGAGTGGCCTTAACCATCGACACTGTTATCCACGACCTCCTAGGGTAGATCTACCAGCAGGCGTAAAAACTTCGGATCCAACAAACACTGGTAATGCTGTGCAGTGGCGGGATACAACCCAACCCAACCCTGGGAGATTAGTGTAAGGTAATATCGATGGTGCCTGCCATACGTCCCCATACACGGCGTTCTCTATACTATATTAGAGAACGCCGTGCCCCATACTCATACTCAATTAAATTTTGGATACAAAAATTGATTTATATTATTATGTTTATGTAAAATTGTATTTTTCTAATAAAGTTTTTTAAATAAATTTTATATTTTATTCAACCTTTCCAGTTAGGACCTAACTGTTAGGTACTTACATTTACATACTTTTATATCTAATATCTAATGTTTTAAATAAAACATTCTCTTTTAAGTAAAATTTAAGCCTCATTATAATTGGAAAGCGGCTTTGCGTATGTGCGCATGTCAAAATCAAAAAGTTTGAAGATTTGCCATATTATTGTAATGGTTGTAAAAAATATTATTTTATTATAATTAATATTGTTCATGTCAGGTTAAGAAGAATGGACAATCTTTTAGCAAATTCCCTTAATTTTAGTTGTTAATTTTGCGCATTGTGAATGATCGTTTTGTGTTAATTATATATTAATTATACTTATAAGTATAATTGAAACCACTAATTTTTTCCACTAATTTCAAGGTTCTGAATGACGCTTGACAACCAAAAAATTAGTGGTAGTACTTTTCAATTAGTGGAAAAAGTTTGCAAACTTTTAACTTTTACCACTAATTATAATTGGAAAGCGGCTTTGCGCATGTGCGCGGATTTTTTATGTCAAAAGCAAAAAGTTTGAAGATTTGCCAGTGAAGGTAAGGTTATATAAATATTATTGTAATGGTTGTACAAAATATTATTTTAATATAATTAATATTGTATATGTCAGGAAAAATGGACAATCTTTGAGCAAATTCCCTTAATTTTAGATGTTAATTTTGCGCATTGTTAATTTTTTCCACTAATTACGAGGTTCTGAATGAGGCTTTAAATTTATTAATCCAAGTATGTAATTTTTAAGAATAAAATTTTATTCTTCAAAATTACATACTTGGATTAATAAATTAATAAATTAATAAATTTAAAGTTTAAAGTTACCTGCTACCCTGTTTATTATAAGTTATAATTTATAACACTACAAATTGTGCATTAAATTAATATTTTTAATAATTTGATTAAATATTACGAGAATATTATTTTAATAATCCGTGTACTTTATATTAATATATTTAGTAGTTGGACCGAAAAAAGGTTTAAAGCTTAAAATAAATTTCTGAAATTTTAATTTAATAATTTTAATTTGTTAAAACAACATTTATATTTTAACTTTCATAAATGGTTCTTTTAACTCCAAGTAAACATTGTTTGTATTGAATGTGCAAAAACTGTTGATTTAACCATTTATTGGTTAATTTAACCATTTTTTCTTCCAGTGCAGCACTTACCAAGAATGCACTATAAGGAAATACCCAACAAAAAAAATGATTTGATAGGCTATAAATGAATGAGCACAATGTAATAAATGTACCATACAAAAAAGTAGATACCCAGACGGCATCATTGCATTGGGTTCTTCCAGTCCGTCACCAGGCGCAAACACAATTCAATAAAGTTGACTTATGTGGTAGGGGACACCCGTAGATCTTCTTCTGTTCCGCGTATGTTAACTAAGTACCTACTGAAGGTCAGTAATATGCAGCTTACCGAACGAAAGACCGCCAGTCACACCTAGTGCTAACATGCTGTTGAGTACCACGTAGATAATATCGCATCCATAGAAAAGCGATCTAAAAGTGAAAATCGAAAAAGTGTTCTGTGGGTGTTTGCGTTTGAACGGTTTGGAATCGTACCCTGCTTCTTCCCTTGTCTAAGGTCTCGATTATGTAATTAAGGTGCGGAACCGGTGGAATAATTGTGTACTTATTAGTTGTAGAGGAATTTTAGTAATTTGACAGGTATGTTGATATTTAGTAAAGTAGTAAAAAGTAAATACATTTTAATGATGTACCAAACAACGCAATTGTAAACTAAATTATTCAACAATCACATACAATTTTGTCATCAAGGTGGTTTTATGAATGAGTTATTTATAATTTTAAATTGTTTTAATGTGAATTTATATTCTTGAATGTCAAGGAGTTCCGTCAAGTTACAAATTAAAAAAATAAGTTGAATAAAAATAATTTTTAATTCAAAATGTTAAGGTCAGTCAGTGCGGTGTTTATGTTTTACTATAACGAGTTAGGACCTAGAAATCAACAATACATGTTGGAATAGGAAAACTTGCCTCTCCAAAAATGAATTACTCAAAAATGACTAATTGTCATAGCGAAAAAGCAGCCATTAATAATTCTCTTCAAAAGCAATTTTTATCCCGAACATTTAGCAGTCAATTTCCATGTAAAATTGTCCCCTGGATCCGAAAATGTCGTCAAAAGTTAGAAAAGTAGAACAGTTTTAGACATATAGTCAATTTTCCATATAATGTAGAATTGACTATATCTCAAAAACTGCTCTACTTTTATAATTTTTGACGATATTTTCGGATTCAGGGGACAATTTAACATAAGAATTGACTGTTAAATGTTGGGGATACTATGGTATCCATGGTTAACAATGGTATAAGTGAAAAAGCAGCCACTAATAATTGTAGTAACTAGTCATTAATTTTTAGAGTGTATTTTTTAGGTTTAATTACCTACCCCTACCTCTATTAACAATGTTTTAATAGAGATCTGAATTTGAAAATACATTTTTTATATCACAATTGTAAAATAATTTTCATAAAAAAATTGGACCATAAATCTATTATTTGACATTAAAATTTTATTGTAATCTTTTTGTGGGTTATTATTTAAAAATAAACATAATACAATTTTACTGTTGACCTAATGATATTAGTTTTCAAAAATAGATTTATTATTAGTCGTTAAAACAGGTACATGTTTACGTACAACATTCTTATAATAAGTAAAATGGTTTTAATCATAATAATATAATTATTACCACTTAATTTTTTTTATAATAAATAATACAAACATAAGTAAAATTAATTTAGAAGCCTTAAAAACTTTTTATTTACAAACTAAAAAGTTACTTTATTTTTTAAGTGTAAATATTATTTACTCTTGTAAGTAATTAAAAAAACTAATTATTTTTTTTAGTTATCTATTAAAAGTTCAAACAATTAATTAGGGTTTAATTAAAAATTTTGAAAATTTTAGGTAGGTAATTAAAAAAAATAAAGGTTTTAAAAAAAATTTCGCAATTTGATGAAAATAGGTACTAATAGGTATTAAAAAAAATAAAGGTTTTAAAAAAAATTTCGCAATTTGATGAAAATAGGTAGGTACCTATTATTATTATTTGAAAATTTTGTTTTATAAACTCTGATAATTTTTAAAATTTTGGAAATTTCCCCCCCCCCATTTTATAGAATTTAGCAACAATTATTGTGCGAATTAGAAAAAATAAAAAAAAATTAATGAACATAATATGTTCATTAATTTTGTAGTAATGAGTGGAATATTCGTTGAAAATATTTGAAATGGAGGGAAAAATTTAATTTTTTTTCCAAAATGGACATTTTTGGAATTTTAAATATTATTTGAAATTTTGTAATTTTGAAAAATCTGATTTTTTAATTTTTACAATTTTGGAAATTTTATATAATGTGATAATTTTAGAAATTTCCCCCTCCCCATTTTTTAGATGTATGCTACTGTGCGAATTTGTTGTACCATTTTTGAAAATTTAAAAATTTTAGGAAATTTAAAAATATTTAAAATTCCAAACATGTCCATTTTGGAAAAAAAAAAAATTTTCCCACCATTTTTTAGATTTATGCTACTGTGCGAATTTGTCCTATCATTTTGAAAATTTTAAATTTAGAAAATTTGAATAATTTAAAAAAATCAGATTTCAGAAAACGAGTCACAAACGCGCAATTTTGAATTACAAATGGTTTCTAGGTGACAGCACCTGTCAGCAGTTTTTTCGAGTTTACCCGCGGCAAAACTTGACAGCTGTTGTCACCAAAAATTGCAATTTATATTTTAATTGTTAACTGTTACTCATGAAATAGTCTTGTCAAATACCATTCGGGCATCTTATTTTTCCTGTGAAAAAAATCGAAAAAACACAATGCTAAGTATTATTTTTTTAACAAAATGCATTCGTGCAGGTGCAAAAATACTCCTCTTCGACTCGGATTTTTGTTGCCACCAGCACTCATGCTTTTTGTTAAAATATTACTTAGAAACGTATTTTCTCCCTCGTCTTAATTTCCACCAATCACAAACGCGCAATTTTAAATTACAAATGGTTTCTAAGTGAAAAAACTGTGTGACAGCACCTGTCATCAGTTTTTTCGAGTTTACCCGCCAATTGGTTGCTATGCGAAAAATAATTGTCAATGTTGAAGTTTCTAATTTTAAAATAAAAATGTCAAAAAATATACGTTTAGGTCGAAAAAATCATACAGAACATGTAATTTTGGTTAGTTTTTGTAGTTCCATTTGGAAATTTTAATGCTTATAAATATTTAAATAAAACATTTGTTGTACCTAAAAAAATATTCGTGAAATAGTCTTGCCGAATACCACTCGTGATAAAATTTGTGGTCTTAAAAATTAATGCCACTTTCTACGGCACGCCGTTTTACTTTTTAATGTAATGTTTATTAAAGCTAAATATTAATTCAAGTTGCGTTTTTAAAAATTGACTGAACATTTTAAAGTAAAAATTTTATGATGTCTTGGTATATTAAGTACACAATTTTAAGCACAGAATAAGAATTAAAGTAATTTTAATTCTGGAACTAAATGGCGTATTTTCTGACTAAAAAATTCGATGAATTAAAATTTGGGTTGAGATAATTTTAATAAGGCGCTACTTGAGAAACACGCAGTCAAATTGAACCAAAATTTTAATTCATCGAATTTCTTAGCCAGTTAATTCAAGTTGCGCGACATTTATTTAAGAAAAAGTAATACTGAAATTATCATTATGTCGCAATTATTTTCTATTATTACTCGTCGACATAAAAATCAATTTACCTGTTTCTTATTAGACACACAAATATTTTGCACGATATATTTGTTTTAATATTTAAATGTTTTTAATATTACTGAAAATTTAATTTGACTAATAAGAATTAAATACAATTTTATTTTTATTGTAATTTTTAAAAATTTTAATATTTACTTTTAATACGAATTATTTTGTTGTTTAAAACACTTTGAAACAATTTTTATACGGGAATAAAGTTGTAGTATAGTTGTTATTAATTATTATGTTATTTAAATCTAGCAATACAAATTTTCATTTAACCACCTTTCTGTCATATTTCTTTTAATCAGATTATTTTTTTTGATAATAAATTCAATTCTATTTGTATGTGACAGAATAATAATTCCTTATTTTTATTTTTTGGAATAAATATTATATACCTCGAATTTTCTGACTGAAAAATTCGATGAATTAAAATGTTGGTTATCACTCGTAAACAGAATTTTAATTTGGCGTTAGTGCATATTGCGGTTGTGTTACGTACTACTGCCACCAAGCGAAGGTACAAGAGCTCGTAAATAAATCACAAAACTAGTTTTGTGAAATAAATTAGGCATTCAAATTCAGTGCTGTCATTTTATTTACTTACCTGTTTTGCTTTCCTTAATTTCTTACCTAATTTATTGATTAATTTTTTGAAATAAAAATAAAGAAAACCATTTTTACTAAAATATTGGTTTTTATTGACTAAAAGATAAAAAACAATATAATATTTTCAATCCATCATTAAATTACATTCATTAAGTTTGTGGATTATTTATACTGTACAGGACCTGGTAGTCGGCTCGGACACTTAACGAGTAGGACAATTCTGGTAATTATATTTATTAATATCTTCTTCTGCGAGAAATCCTATTGCATAGACAACTAACCAAATAATGAACCACAATTAAATTGTCCATTAGGAGAGTCTGAAATCCATATCTAAATTATTTCGTGTAAAGTGAGGTTAGCCAGCAGGGCAGTCTTGTTGAAATGCACCCCTAACATAATTTAATAATCATAATCATGTCGATATACATTATTGATAGCACTGAAAATTTTGGACTGCACTGTTGCCTAATTTATTTTCGTGGCAGTAGTACGTAACACAACCGCACTATGCACTAGCGCCAAATTAAAATTCTGTTTACGAGTGTTAACCAACATTTTAATTCATCGAATTCTTCATCGAGAAAATTCGCCTTGCGCTTACAGATTTAAATCTTGTCTAATTTTTATTCCAAAATAAATATTCTACTTACTTTAACTTAATTTTAAATTAATAAATGAAATATTATTATTTACATATAAGCACCTTTTTTAAATAGAAACAAATATTCATACAATAAAAAGTGAGGCTTAAAAATATAGATCACACCAGAATGATGTAAATATATAGGTACGGAAACTTATCCAATACACCAAAAAATAAATTAGTAGATTTTAATTTATAATTAAATTTAATTTAGTAATTTTTATGAACGTTTATATTTTCTAGACAATTTTTAATTTTGATAATTTTTCCAAGAAAAAAACATTCGTATAAAAATCAAAAAAATTATCGGTAAATTTTACCTCTAGTGGTATTATATTATATTATACGATAATATTTTAAATCTCGATAATTTTGTAATTTTGAAAAATCTGATTTTAGAATTTTTAACCACTATTTTTTAGATTTATACTCCTGTGTGAATTTGTCTTACCATTTTTGGAAATTGAATATTTTGAAACTTAAAAATTTTAAAAAATATTGAAAATTTTGGAAAACTTTATAAAAAAAATCGCAATTTTGAAAATATTTGAAAATGTTGTATATTTTATAAAATTAGAAAAATTTTAAAATTAATATTTTATTATTAATTATTAATTTATTTTATGCTACTGTACGAATTTCTTTTACCATTTTGGAAAATTTAAAATTTTTGAAAATTTAGAAATTATGAAATTTTATGAATTTTAAAAATATTTGAAATTTCGAAAATTTTGTACATTTTAAAAAATCTGAAAAATTTTCAAATTTAAAAAAAAAATCACCATTTTTTATTATGCAACATGCTGTGAGAAAATTTTAAAATTTAGAAATTTTGAAAAATTTAAAATTTTAGGTCTACCTACAGGTAATTTAAAATTTTTGATAAATTTCGAAAATTTTAAGAAAATTTCTGCAATATTTAAAAATTTTGAAAATTGTTTAAAATTTAGGAAATTTTTCCCACCATTTAAAATTTGAAAATTTGGAAAATTAAAAAAAATGAAATTTTGAATATCTTCACAATTTTCAAAATTGTCATTTTGAAAAATTTGGTAATTTATAAGATTTTGGAAATTTATCCCACGCTTTTTTAGATTTATGCTACTGTGTGAATTTGTCGTACCATTTTTTTAATTTAACCTGCTGTGCGAATTTTTACCAATATTTTTTAAATTTTGGCGTATGTTATTTACCATTTCTAAAATATTTGCACCTAACAACCAGACAAAATTTATCCCACGCTTTTTTAGATTTATGCTACTGCACATGTGTGAATTTGTCCAACCATGTTTTAAATTTAACCTGCTGTGCGAATTTTTACCAATATTTTTTAAATTTTGACGTATGTTATTTACCATTTCTAAAATATTTGCACCTAACAACCAGACAAAACCATAATTCTTCTCTTTGGATATGTTGGTGCTCCTGACACACTAAAATAAACTAGATGCCAGAAATCGGTAGTAAATAAAAACCGGTTTACGATACAAAATCCATAAGTAGCAAAATGTGTCTCGCACAAGTTTTATTACCATTGAATTGAAAAAAAAAATTACGAAACGTTGGATATTTTCGGTGGGCGGTCTTTGCTTGAACAATTGGCGATGCCGCAGGGTTCAATTTTGGGAGCGTTTTTAATGTTTGGTAGGTTAATGACCTGCTTAAATCTGCTAAAGGGCCATTTCATGCATGGGGACGGGACAAATTACAAAACTTTTTTATAAAAAAATGCTAGGTAATTTATTGTATAATATTTTGGCATCAAAATTGTCAAAAATATTCTTCTTTTATTAGGCAGTACATACATTAAATAAAAAAAAACGCAAGAAATACTTTATATAATAGAGATAATTGTAATAATTGAGAGGTGTGGACGGGACAAGATAAATCTTTTTTTTGTCCCTCCGACACCTTTTAATTATTACAATTATCTCTACTTTTTAAAAAATATTTCTTGCGGTTTTTTTATTTAATGTATATCCTAATAAAAGAAGAATATTTTATAATAAATTATCTACAATTATTTTTATAAAAATAGTTTTGTAATTCGGGCGTTTCGCGCTCCTGAAATGGACCTAAATCATTTTATGAAAAATTAATAAAATGATTAAATATACATAGTCGCGAGTTTTACTTTCACAGTTATAATTGTTTTGTGTCTGGGTCAACATACAAGGATAGTCTAAAATTAAAATTTATTGTTTGCGAATGGTAAAATTAAATGCTTATTTTGTATCGTAATGTAAATAATCCAGATATGTTAATCAACAGGACAGTGTTTTTTTAAGAAACTCTGCAAAAATCGTATTATAATATTGTTTGATAAAAATTAATATTTAATATAATTATTTATCTCGCAACATACATATAAGGCGATTTGTTAACCCTAACCTATTCTGATTTTTATTGTGCTATAATTTCTATGCCATTCATAATCATTTATACATAATTTACTAGCCTTGTTCTCATTATCTTGCTGTAGCCACTTTTAAACAGCATATCTTAAGATAAAAGTGCACGGCATTATAGTTTATTATGTATCAAGTTTGATAAACGCCATTTTAGTCACGAATTTAATTTAGGCACGTGCTTAATTAAATGAGTGCCTAGAAAAGTTTATAAACGAGTTGCAATCTATACTTTTTTTACAAAAAATATTATCTAAAAAATCATTTAACTTAAATATTTTTATAACGCGACTTCTATACGAAAATAAAGTAACCATCCCAATAAACGTTTTTGACGTAATTTTCACCATTAACATTGCCCGTTATTATTTTAATTAAACTTTTATAAATTTCTAAACATTTTCTAAAATTTTCATATTTTTTTTCAACCATGCATGGTTATGGCACGCCGTTTTACTTTTTAATCGGATAAAAAATATTAAGTTAAATATTAATACTTAAAAAAAAATTGCACTGAAAAATAATACCTTCAAAATAATACATTAATTAGAATTATACATGTCAAAGAAGTTATTCTTTTTTTAAATATGTTTATATAAGATGTTGAATTATTTATTTAATGTAATTTTTCTGTCTGCAATATTTTTGTGACACATTAATATTTAACTTAATATTTTTTATACAATTAAAAAGTAAAACGGCGTGCCATAATTAATTTTATGTGTACACATAAAATTAATACACTGAATTTTTATTATGTAATTAAAATTATTACTATACTATAATAAAAATAAAAATTTTAGAATTAATTTTATCTAGATAAAATTATATAATTAATTTTATCTAGATAAAATTATATAATTAATTTTATCTAGATAAAATTAATTCTATAATTTTTATTATGTAAAGTCAAAATTTTAATTGTAACATTAAAATTCATTGCATTAATTTTATCTAAATAAAATTATATAATTAATTTTATCTAGATAAAATTAATTCTATAATTTTTATTATGTAAAGTCAAAATTTTAATTGTAACATTAAAATTCATTGCATTAATTTTATCTAGATAAAATTATATAATTAATTTTATCTAGATAAAATTAATTCGGCGCTTTGGAGTGCGGTCGAAAGTGGCAACTGCAGTAGATCATATAGTAGGCACGTTTAATTTATCAAAGTTTGGAGCCAATATGCGAGAGATCTGTTTGTGGTTTTTGTTTTATTGATTGTTGGAACTGTTCGCAAGCCTGCCTGAGCTTATAAATCCTTAAAAATAAGTTTTGTTCAATATAAAACATATACTATGCAAATGAACTACTGCAGTTGCCACTTTAAGCCGCACTACCACAGCGCCGAATTAATTTTATCTAGATAAAATTAATTATATAATTTTATCTAGATAAAATTAATGCAATGAATTTTAATGTTACAATTAAAATTTTGACTTTACATAATAAAAATTATAGAATTAATTTTATCTAGATAAAATTAATTATATAATTTTATCTAGATAAAATTAATTCTAAAATTTTTATTTTTATTATATGTAGTATAGTTATAATTTTAATTACATAATAAAAATTCAGTGCATTAATTTTATGTGTACACATAAAATTAATTGTATCATTTTTATTAGAATTAAAATTTGCGTAGATATAAAATTAATTATGGCACGCCGTTTTACTTTTTAATTGTATAAGAAATATTAAGTTAAATATTAATGTGTCACAAAAATATTGCAGACAGAAAAATTACATTAAATAAATAATTCAACATCTTATATAAACATATTTAAAAAAAGAATAACTTCTTTGACATGTATAATTCTAATTATTTTTCAGTGCAATTTATTTTTAAAGTATTAATATTTAACTTAATATTTTTTATCCGATTAAAAAGTAAAACGGCGTGCCATACATGGTTGAAAAAATATATGAAAATTTTAGAAAATGTGCTGTCATAAAATTAAATTGTAATCTTTTTTTCAGATCCATCATGTATTTAATTTGGTGTACACTGTTTCTTGCTAGTCAAATTAATGCCATGGATAACTTGAGGGTGGCATTCGAATGGAAAGTGGTGGATTTTCTGTATCCCTCGCAGGAAGAAAGGTCCTTGGCGTTACAAAATAAGGCGTTTATACCCGAAAACAATATACCTATGGGATTGGAAGTTTATAAGGACCGACTTTTTATAACTATACCCAGATGGAGACCAGGTGTTGGAGCTTCATTGGCTTACATCTATTTAAACGGTAAGTAAGTTTTTCGGTCTTACGAAATTTACATAAAACTTAAAATATTAAAAATCGCTAGACCATACGGGATATAATTTATATTAAACAAAACTTATTATTACTCCGTGCGCGCGATTATCTTTGGAACGTTTTTATGTACAGTTACTGAAAAAAGTAATGTCCATTTGAATGCTCCATTGTAATTGTTCGGAGGCATTCGGGTTTTGCTAATAAAATTAACATATCTATTTTTAAACTCAATAATTCTACCTACCTGCTATTTACCATTCTTTCTACGCACATTTCATTTGACTTTTAAGCTTTTATGCAATAATTAATTATTTAAGGAATAACATTGATTCTGAAATAATTTAAATATAATATATGTATGTTCTATAAGTTATTAAATAAACTATATATTATTTAATAAGTTGTTATTAATAAAATAGTATATTTAAATGAAATATAGACATTTAATACTAAAATAATTATAAACTTTTGAATAATTTTGCAAATAAAATTGTTAATAACCCTCTTTAATGTATTTACCTTTTTATGTGATTTTTTGTTACCTGGGCAATTTAAATTAAAATATTTATTCTTACTATGTAAATTAAAGCCATTAAAATTTTAAACTAAAATGCATTTTGTGCTAATAAAAAGAAATTATTAATAAATAATAAATATTTAATAAATTATTAATAAAAAGAAATTATTAATACGTTTTTCTACTTCTATTGCATATTATTGACATTTTTTGTTTTTTTTTTCTTAAAAAAATGGTAACCAATATATCCGCCCGGCCTATCAACGTGAATAATGAACTCATTATTCACGCTGTTAGGCATCAGTGATTGGCTTATTTCAATATTAACTGTTATTTGAACCAATCGGGTTTTAAATTAGAAAAAAAGTAAGGTTGACAGATGTCAGATATATTTATATAGGTATACAAGGGGCGACTATGATAATCGGAGAAAAGTGAGGTTATAATAAATTTTATTATCAATGATAATTAATTAATTGGAGTAGAAAAAACATAGTATTAAAATAAATAAATTGTGAGAAATTAATGAAAATCCATCCATCTTTAAAATACAAAAATAATATGGAAAATATTTTTTTAGTCGCACATATATGTCTATAGACTATTTTTAAATGATAATATAATATTTGACCAAATTGGGTCCAAACCCTTTGGGAATACTATGCTCTAACTATAATTATTAATGTAATTATTTACCATTTCTTTTTAAATAAAAAGGCCGCTTTCTTTGTTCATGGTTTTAGATAATATTTTCCTAAAAAAGGGTCCTACTAAATTTTACCATAAATTTTGTTTCGCTGAAAAAGTTATAAAATCTTGAAATTTTCTATAAATTTAACTTTTACCTTGAATAGTAGGTACCTTTTAAAAAAGCCCTACCAAAATTTGTTTTAGTTTTATTGGTCCACTAATCCGTTAACGAGTTATACAATTTTAAAGTATTTTAAAAAATCTCATATTAATTTAATGGGAAATAAAAATTCCCGATGAGGGACCTGTAAATGTAATATTAAGAGCTTACATTTTAACAGGACCATTTTTTTGAGATTCTGAACAATATTTTTGAGGTACTTTAAAAATAAATATTCGATTTTTTTGTATAAGTCTAATAATTAAATAATATTTTAATAAAAATAAACACAAATAAAAATACACATTAATCTACACATGATAAAAGAGCAATAAATAAAAATGAAGAAATATATAATATATATTTTATAGTTTTATAATATTTATATATTTATATAATATATATATATATATATATATATATATATAATATATATAGTTTTATATAAAACTATTTATATAAAACATAAATAGGTATATTATATACCTATTTATGTTTATATGTTTATATATAAATACCTATAGGTATGTTAAGTTTTACATAATTATATTAAACATTTTTTGATAAATCCTAGTATATTTAATTTAAAAATATACCAAATATAAAAATTTTAATTATATGTTTTTAATTTTAACACATTAAAGTGCAACAACTACAACTTGATAATATTATTTATAGCCTAAAAAGTTGTTATTAATAGTTTTTTCATAGAATAAATGTTTATAAAACTATACAAAAATACCTATATCAAAAAATTAACGATTTAATAAAAATACAGTTAAATATGTAATATACCCAAAATAATTAATTCAATACGAGCAGGCAGTAAATTCTAAATATAGACATAATTTTAAATAAATTTTAAGAGGCAGATGTTGACTATTTCCGAACGCCTCCGAACAATTACAATGGAGCATTCAAATGGACATTACTTCTTTCCGTAACTGTACATTATGTACCTAAACATTTATCAAAAAAAATTCTGGATTAGTTAATACAACTTGATAATATTATTTATAGCCTAAAAAGTTGTTATTAATAGTTTTTTCATAGAATAAATGTTTATAAAACTATACAAAAATATATCAAAAAATTAACGATTTAATAAAAATACAGTTAAATATGTAATATACCCAAAATAATTAATTCAATACGAGCAGGCAGTAAATTCTAAATATAGACATAATTTTAAATAAATTTTAAGAGGCAGATGTTGACTATTTCCGAACGCCTCCGAACAATTACAATGGAGCATTCAAATGGACATTACTTCTTTCCGTAACTGTACATTATGTACCTAAACATTTATCAAAAAAAATTCTGGATTAGTTAATTTTTAACAAAAATATGTATTACTCATTTTTCAATCCTTAATATTCAGCAAGTTATAAATTTTTTTTTCAAAACTTTTTAAATTTTGACCTAAGATATCTTTTGACTGGCTAGGTTTACGAAAAAAACATATCGTACCTGTTTTGTAGAGCATTCAATTCCCTATCATAATGCTTATTGGGTTTAGCTTTTTATTAAGAAACAATTTTTTTTTCATCGGATTAATGTGTAAATGGAAAATTTCAACGAGGAATTTTACACCATTTTTAAAATTTATGCGCGAATTTGTCCTACCATTTTGGAAAATTTAAAATTTCAAAACTTAAATATTTTAAAAGATGTTGAAATCTGCAAAATACCTACCAACATTTTAAAATTTTGCTATTTTGAAAATTTTGTGCATTTTTATAAAATGTGATAATTTAAAATTTTTAAAAATGTTCCCCCATTTTTTAGATTTATGCTTCTGTTCGATTTTTTTCTACCACTTTTAAAAATATAAAATTTTTAAAAATTCAGAAATTTTGAAAAAATATTTAAAATTTTGAAAAATCAGATTTTTTAATTTAAAAAAAATCAGATTTTTTAATTTAGAACATTTTTCCCAGCATTTTTTAAATTGTAGATTATTGGAATTTTTAAAAGTTTACAAATTTTGAAATATTGTAATATTCAAAATTTTTATAAATTATAGGAAACTTTTTATAAAATCTGATAATTTTTAAAATTTTGGAAAGTTTTATAAATTTTAAATTTAGATATTTTGAAAAATATAAACATTTAGGTAATAAAATTAAAATTGAAAAATATTAAAAAAATTGAAAATTCTGGTAAATTTCGAAAATTTGTAATTTTTTAAAAATTTCCATTTAATTTGCAAAATTTAAGTTCTGAAAATTTTGAAAAATTTAGGAAATTTATAAATTTAAAGTTTTTTTTAAATTTTTGACATTTGTAAAATATTTAGAAAATTTTGTACATTTTAAGAAAGTCTGATAATTTTAAAATTTTGTAAATCTTGAGAAATTAAAAAAATATATAATTAAGCAATTTTAAAGATTTAAAAAATTTAGTTTATTTTAAATTTTTAAAAACAAATTAAAAATTTTGAAAATTTTCAATTTTGAAAATGTTTACAATTTTGAGAGCTCATACCTAGATAGGCTTCTTCTATTTCGAAATCATAAGTCAAAAAAAAAGAAAAGTAGGCTTTTTGAATCCCCACATTGATTTATTAACGTTAATTGTATTGACCTATTCAGAAGAGAATCTCCATACGAATGCGCAATTATATTGTTTATCTGAATATTGATGTTGTTATGGTGTTAAATGGAAAGGAAACAATTAAAATATCCTTGAGATTGTAGCGTTTAACTTATTTTTTAATGAGGTATTTACAGGATGTTAATTAATACCAGGTATAATTAAATCCATCATATTAATAAAAAATGTTGTGTCAGATCATAGTACAAAAACTAATTGTTATAATAATTCTAATTGGTTTTTATTGGCGATTTCAGACACGTTAGACAACCCCGTACTGCGCCCCTATCCAAACTGGGAAGCCCACAAGATGCGTTCCAACGACGAAAGCCCAGAAATCGTGAGCCCCTTTCGCATACGAGCGGACCAATGCGGAAGGCTTTGGGTTCTGGACACGGGCTTTACGGACATTGCGGAAGACACCCTTAGGGACTTACGTCCACCCAGACTTCTTGTTTACGATTTGCACAACGACGAACTGCTGAGGACGCACACGATCCCCTTGGACCAGAAGAACAACGACAGCTTCTTCGCTAACATCGCCGTCGAGGATCACGATTGCGAAGACAGCTACGCCTACTTGGCGGATCTGAACAAGCCTGGGCTTGTAGTGTACTCCTGGAAGTCGCAGTCTTCTTGGCTGGTGAGTTCTTCATAATTATCAACTCAGTTTTTTTCAAAATTTTATTATATTGGTGAACCATGAAGCCCTAGGTGTTAAGTTTAGTTTAAAGTTTAAAAATTTTAAATTCATAAAACACCAAAGATTTTGTAAATTTGTCCCATTTTTTTAAATTTCAAAACCTAAAAATTTTGGTAGATTTCAAAAATTTGTTTAGTTTTTCCCACTAGGCGTTCTACCATTTTTTAAATAAAGTAACCAATTTTAAAAATTTTCATATAAATATTTTAAACATTTTGATAAACTCAAATAATTTTTAAAAGAATTAAAACATTTCGCAATTTTTGGAAATTTTCTAAAATTTTGTAATTTTGAAAAATCTGACTATTAAATTTTTAACAATTTTGGAAATTTGTCGGACCATTTTTTATATTTATGCTACAGTGCGAATTTTTCCTCCAATTTTGAAAATGTATCCTACTGTGCGAATTTCTTCCACTGTGCGAATTTTCCCCTTTTTTAATTTTGAACTACTCCATCATTTTTTAAATCTTTAAAATTTTAAAAACTTTAAAGATTTAAAATAATTTTTTTTTTAATTTTCAAAATTTTTGAGAAACTTAAAAAAAATTTAAAAAGTTATTATTAAAAAATTTTGCAATTTTAAAATTGATGTAAAATTTCAATAATTTTGTAATTTTGAAAAATCTGATATTTAAAATTTTGGAGAATTTTAGAAATTTGTTCTACCATTTTTTAGATTTATGCTACTGTGCAAATTTTTCCTGTTCTCTTATTTTTAAAATTTTGTACAATTTTGGAAATTTGTCCTACCATTTTTTACATGTATGCAACAGTGCGAATTTGTCCTACTGTGCGAATTTTATAAAATTTATGGTACTGCGACTTTTCCCCTTTTTTAATTTTGAACTGCTACAATTTTTTTTAAATTTATCCTACCGTTTTTAAATTTATGAATGTAAAAACTTTAACATTTTGAAAACTTCCAAATTTAAAAAAAAAATGGGAAATATCAAAAATTTTGTAATTTTTTAAAGTTCTTTCCTGGCTGGTAAGTTTTCAAAATTTTATTATATTGGTGAACCAAAAAGTTTAAAAAGTTTATATAATACCAAAGATTTTGGAAATTCTCCCATTTTTTTTAAATTTCAAGAACTAAAAATTTTAGTAGATTTAAAAAAAAATCAATTTTTCCCACTATTTTTTAACTCTGTACCATTGTGCGGTTGGGCAATTTTGGACAATTTTAAAAATTTGTGATAGCATTAACTTGTTAGATTAATGCTACTGTGCCAATTTTTAAAAAATTTAAAATTTTCGCAATTTTGAAATTTTTTGAAAAATTTTGTATTTTCGAAAAGTTTTAAAAATTTGCAAATTGAAAATTTTAGCAATTTTGAGAAAATGTCAAAATTTTTGTTATTTATTTTTTTTTATTATTAAATTTTGGACAATTATTGGAAATTTTTTAGATTTATGCTACAGTGCGAATTTTACCTCTAATATTTAAAACTTCCTACTGAGCGAATTTATTCCACCATTTTATTAAATTTATGCCACTGCGAATTTTTCCCTTTTTTAATTTTGAACTCCAATTTTTTTAATTTATCCCATCATTTTTTATGCATATAAAATCTTTAATAATTTAGAAATATTCTAAAATTTTGGGAATTATCGAAAATTTGAAATTTTGAAAAATCATGACATTTTCTATGCATGTAAAATCTTTAAAATTTTGAAAACTCCCAAATATTCTAAAATTTGGGAATTATCGAAAATTTGAAAATTTGATAAATCCTGACTGGTGAGTTCTTTATGATTAAATATTTAATAGTTAATACTCAATTTTTTTTTCAAAATATTATTATATTGGTGAACCATGAAACAGTAGGTGTTGGGTTGTAATAAATGTGACTTGTTTACAGGTTAAAAACAACTACTTCCACTTTGACCCGCTGGCCGGGGCTCTCAACGTGTCCGGAGTGGAGTTCGTGTGGAGCGACGGGATCTTCGGCTTGGCGTTGTCCGGCCCGGACAGCGAAGGCTTCAGCACGCTGTTCTTCCACCCGATGATAAGTTACAACGAGTACTCCGTCAGCACGAGGATCCTTCGAAACGAAACCCTGGCCAGCCGCAGCTTCCACGAGTTCAAGCTGCTGGGAAGTCGCGGTCCGCGAAGCCAGAGTGGGGCGTCGTTCTTCCACAAAAAATCCAACGTTTTGTTCTACGCTCTGATCAATTTGAACGCTGTGGCCTGCTGGAGGACCACGAATCCGCACTACGACATGATTTCGCAGGGCAGGATTTTCATGAGCAATGAGACGATGGTGTTCCCCAACGACATCAAGGTTGATAACGAGGATAACGTCTGGGTGCTGTCGGATAAACTGCCGATTTTCCTCTACAAGAATCTCGACTACAACGAAGTCAACTTCAGGATTCTCACCGCCAAGGTGGCGGATGCCATCAGAGGAACCACGTGCGATTCCAAGTTGGTCGTTATTCCTACGATAGTGGACAAAATCAAACCTATAATGAAAAATAACGAATTAATGATGAACACAAATGGTAACAGTAATAATATGAACACCAATAGAGATATGAGATCTTCTTCTAACAGAATTTATCACACTACTTTTGTATTAGTTTCACTAACAGTTTTTGCCATATTATATTGAATTTGAGGTTTATTTTACATTTTCTAGTAAATTAGTACTAGTCGTTTAATAATTATGTTTCCCAAGAAAATGTAAATAATTATGTACATATTGTAGCTTCAGATTAATGTTTTATCAAAGTATTTTATTACACAAATTTATTTATATAGCAGGCACAAAATCCTGTATTTTTGAATGGATTTTATGTAAATTTTATTTATTATAATATGTTAACTTTTTAATTTCTAATTATAATACTAATTGTGATTTAACGTTAACAAAATTTAATTTTTTATGCCTTTTATTAAAATCATAAGAAATATAAATTTGTTTTTATTTTTATATCCTTAAGACCACTGTGAGATCATTTTTGGCGCGTAGGTGTTTCTACTCTACGGCGGAATTTGTAGATTTCAACTAAAATCAATTTAATCGATTTTAAATAACCATGCGATCTCATCCACCTTAACTTAATTTTAAGTATACCTACATAATTTATATACAATACATGTATTTTTTTCCTTTTTGTAACTTTGACACTGCTAAAACATTTGTTATAAGCAATAAACTAAACTAAACTAAACTAAACTATATCCTATGTAAAAAACTGTGCTTGTACTGGTGTGGAAGTTATAGGTACTTAATTTAATTAAACATTTTGAAATATAATGAAATACCAAACATTTTAGAAATTTGTCCCACCATTTTTAAAAAATTTTAAAACTTAAAATTGTTTGTTGAATTTTTCCCAACATTTTTTTGAATCATAATTAAATTAAAAAAAATTTAATTTTGGAAAAATTAAAAAAAATCGTATATAAAAATTTTGGTAAATTTCAAAAAAATTGTTGAATTTTTTTCTCTATTTTTTAATTTTGGAGTACTGTAATTGTTGAAATACCAAAGATTTTGGAAATTTGTCCCACCATTTTTTATAAAAAGTGCTAACAAAAATTGTTACGAATGCCAATAATTTAAATTACGTAAAAGACAAAATGTTTAAAGAAAGATATTAAAAACAATTAAATAACAACATATTTTAAAAAATTGTAAAATTTAAAAATTTTGAAAATTAAAAATTCTTGAAAATTTTTACAATTTTGAAATTTTTTGTAAATTTCGAAAATTTTGTATAAAAAAATCTGATTGTTCCTGTTAATTTGTCCCGCCATTTTTTAGATTTATGCTAAATTGAAAATTTTTGCAATAATTATTGTTGAGATTAAGCTACTGTCACCTATTATTCACGTTATATTGACGTCAAGTTTTTGACTAATTTGTCACGTCTTTTTTGGATATCGATGATACCTAACTATAACGTCAAAATTAAACCAATAAATTTTTACGTATATTTTAAAAACAAACTAAAAAGAACAAACTGTTCAAAAAGTTTACTTTTCCTACTAACATATTAGAGACGGTAGGTATGTATGTTTTAATATTTTTAAACTTATTACTTTACTGGTTTGCCGCCACAATCGGTTGTCCTGTTTTTTTACAATTTTGGAAATTTGTTCTACCTTTTTCAGATTTATGCAACAGTGAGAATTTTCCGTGTCATAAATTGAAAAAATTGTAAATTTTCGCAATTTTGAATTTTTTTGAAAATTTCAAAACTAAGTAGTTTTGAAAAATCTGATAATTTTTAAAATTTTAGACAATTTTTTACCATCTTTTAGATTGAGCTACTTTGCGAATTTTTCCTGTCCTAAATTTCAAAAATTAAAAAAAAATCGCAATTTTTTTTTTGAAATTTTGAAAATTTTTTATTTTGAAAATTATGATTATTTTTACAATTTTGTAAATTAAAAATATGCGGAATTTTGGAAATTTGTCTTCCCTATTTTTATTTTTATGCCACTGTGCGATTTTTTTCTGTCCCAAATTTATAAAAATTAAAAAATGGAAAATTTCTCAATCTTGAATTTTTTTGAAAATTTCTAAAATTTTGTAATTTTGAAAAAATTTTGGACAATTTTAGAAATTTGTCATCCCATTTTTTAGATTTATGCTACAGTGCGAATTTTTTCTCCAATTTGTTAAATTTATCTGTGCGAATTTGTTCCACTATGCGAATTTTCACCTTAATTTTGAACTTCTGTGCGGATGTTCCATCATTTTTTAAATTTATGTATGTATGTACATTAGGGTGTCCCTTATTTTTTATTTTTTCACGCATACCCTCTAATTATATTTATTACGTGTTTATATACTCCCAGTAAAAATTTCAGCTCATTCTATAAACGGGAACCCGTGCCGACTTGCATCTGAAGCCTCCGTTAGCCAACGTTAGTCGCGTGGTAACACGGTTGGTCGCGAAGTCTTCGATCGTAAGTCATTTTGTGTTTGTTATTATGTGACCCTTATATTATAAATTATTGACAAATGTTAAAATATAGTTTTATTTATGTGTATACTTTTATAAAAATGTATATTTTCACAGAGAGTGACTAGTTACCCGGAAGTGAATAGGCCGTAAACTCTGAAATTGATAAACTTAATGGGTTTTACTCTAAATAACTAAAAGAGTCTATTGTGAGAGATGACTACCGAAAACTTATTGAACTGTCTGAAATATTTTTGGGAGGACATCAAGAAAAGAAATGCTTATAAAAAGCTGAAATTTCATATAACATTATATTTTAGCAATACTAATTAGTATATTAATATATTTAAGGGATAAAATCAACTACACTTTTTTGGTTATTTTCTAATGGTCATTCAGATATAATAAAAAAAAGAATTTCGGGTAATTAGTTTTACGGCCTATTCACCCGACACCGGGTAACTAGCCACTTCCTGTATAAATATTCATTTTTATTAAAGTATACACATAAATAAAACTATATTTTAACATTTTTTAATAATTTATAATATAAGGGTCAATAATAACAAACACAAAATGACTTACGATCGAAGACCTAGCGGCCAACCGTGTTACAAAATACCGCGCGCCTAACGTTGGCTAATGGAGGGTTCAGATGCAAGTCGGCACGGGTTCCCGTTTATAGAATGAGCTGAAATTTTTACTAGGAGTATATAAACAAGTACTAAATATAATTAGAGGGTATGCGTAAAAAAATAAAAATAAGGGACACCCTAATGTACATATGTATGTATGTATGTAAATTTTAAATCTTTAAAATTTTGTAATTTTCAAGAATTTTGATGAACTTCAAAAATTTGCAATTTAAATTTTTTTGAAAAATTTTGAAAATTTTGTAATTTTGAAAAATTTGATAATTATAATTATTAATTTTGGAAATTTTGGAAATTTGTCCTACCTTTTTTAGATTTATGCATCAGTGCAAATTTTTCGTGTCATAAATTTTAAAAATTGTAAATTTCCTAAATTTTGAAATTTTAAAAATTGTAAATTTCCTAAATTTTGAATTTTTTTGAAAAATTAATTAAGTAATTTTGAAAAATCTGATAATTTTTAAAATTTTGTACAATTTTGGAAAGCTCTCCTACCATTTCTTATATTTATGCTACAGTGCGAATTTTTCCTTAATTTTTTTTAATTTATGCATGTAAATTTGAAAACTGAACAATTTTACACACTTAAATGAAAAGTACAAAAATTTTAAAAATTTGTAACAATTTTGGTAAATTTTGTAGCATAGATGTTGCAGAACTTCGACGTGACTAAAGCCTTTCATATTTTCTGTGCCGACAAAAATAATAACTATAATTTACATTAAAACACTGCATTTATTTTTATTACGATTTTATTTATATTTTGTTTTGTAGCAGCCAAAACTAGTAATTTGAATAATAAATTGTATAATTCGAAATCACTGAAGAATAATAATTTTAAATCATCAAATACAAATCCGACATGTAACAGCAAATAAACAATTTTAAGGAAACACTTTATATAAAATTATAATTTGGTAAATAAACAAATAAGTTATATTTATATTTAATATTAAGTGAGTAATTTAAATATTAATAAATTAATTTTTTATATTTAATTCCATGATTAAAACTAGATTTCCTATTATTATTATCATTTATTAAAACTTCTAAAGGTGATTTATCGATTTTTAAAATATAGTAATTATCCAAAAAATCAGCTATTTATATTAAAAGCTTTTAAAAACTTTTGTAACCACATTTAAATATTTACTTAAGTTTAAGGTTTACGATCATTAACATTATTTTTTAGACTTAAAACCATTAAGTAAGGTGCTAATCATACATAAAATGAAACAGGCAGTTTTAAATGGTTGTTATACGGATTGGCATCCAATATCAGACATGGAACTCGACCTTATCAAAATTATAATGGGCGAAATCAATAAAAAAATTGCCATGTCTTTGAGGTTAACAATGTTACCATCATATCTGGAACTATGGGGAAACATGAGTTCGGGTAGATGCGACTTTGCTTTTGGAGGAATTTTTGCAAATCCTGAAATGCAAGCAAAGTATCAGATAACGGTGCCCGATACGCAGGATAGAATTAAAATTTTTGTGCCGAGGGCGAGTAAGATCAAAGACTGGACGAGAATTGCCCGCACATTTACACCCTACCTGTGGATAAGTTTGGTTTTGAATCTGGTTTTATTTGCATTAATATGGAAGTTGTTCGGTAAAATTTTGATGATGAACAACAAAATGTTTTCTATCTTCCGGATCGTGTTTGAACAAATCCCAAAACCATCCAAAATATTTTCGTTAAACGTTCTTCTGAACGCATTAATATTATTTCATCTGGTTGTAAACACTGCTTTTAGAAGCAAACTGCTGTTTTTTATGGCTGGAAACAACCTCGAAAAACAAGTCGCCACCTTTGAGGATATGCAGCAGAGAAAAATAAAAGTTTCGTACAATCAATTTTACACCAATTATTTCACTGGCAGATCCGACATGGATAATTACTTCCGAAATCATCATATTCTTTGCGAAGACCACCAACGTGTTTGCTTTGAAGAAATGATACGGAAAAACACTTTCGCGACAATATTTTACGAAAAAGTTTACTTCTATTATGCTAAGGAGTTCTTAAAAGTTAAAAATGGATACCTACCATTCGTCCTCAGTGATGTGATTTTTAGAACTGATATATCAATGTATTTTCCAAGAAATAGCACCGCATTCCCTCACTTTAATCAACTTATTCTACAACTTAAAGAAAATGGCATTTTATATAAAATTGAACAAGATTTAAATTTAAAGTTGCTGTTTTTATTACTAAAAGTTAAAAAAGTCAGTTTTTCTCCGGCATATGTTAAAGCTTTAAGTTTTAATCAATTACAATTGGCATTTAACTTATACGGTCTAGGAATTGTAATAAGTTTGTTATTATTAATAAAAGAGTTATTTTTAAAGTAGTATCTGATCATGCAAAGCTTAATTAACTTTAACGAAAAATTAAACGATTTTGTTGTTTTTTTTAGGTATGTAATCATAATTTTATTTATACAAACAAAATTTGTTTCGTACAATTGTACTATTTAATAGTTTATAGTTATAGACGTCAGTCTTTGTATAAAACACTCATTAGTAAATAGTAGTTTTATTTTTGAACGAAGGATTTTTTAGGGTACAAAAATTAAGTTTTTGGTGCAAAAATTAAGTTTTCCTAACAAAAGCAGAAATTGCATATAGGATCGCGTTTAAAATGTATTTTTTACAAATTAAAAGGCATTCAGGTTGTTTCTCGGGGCGAGTGTGAAATATAAGCCACTTTACGACTCAGAAGGCCCAAACTTGAATTGGAGGCTTTCAGAAGAGGTTAAAAAGGAAAATGACCTTGAAATTATAATAATACAATATGGAAATAATTGAAGGGCGAAATGGATGATTCAAGAACTTAAAATTGTGGACTTAAATCAAAAACTTCAACATCAACAAGGCATGTCTACTCATGCTACTTACCCTTGAACGCTGCCACGTCTTTTTGTAATTCACTGGCAACTCACTGGCACTGGCGACCAGTAAATGGCAACCTATATAGTTTAAATTTAGAACGAATATAATTACCTATGTAAAGGCAAGTTCCAACTTCATTTACATCAATTACAGAACAAACTGAGAAAACAAAGGATAATAGCACTTGTAGATAGTCAGTAGGAGTATATTCGCCTTATGACCAATAAACTTTTTGAAGAAGATCTCTCAGGTAAGTTGAAATGAAAGTGTACAGATTAATATATATGTATATATATTATATTTATTAAACAATAAAATATTAACAATAAACAACAAAATAAGTACAGTAGAGTTTATAAAGAATGATTTGTGAAAGGAAAAAGAACACGATAATGAAAAATAAATACAATAACGATATAATTTGTTTATTGGTGCCTTAAGCCATACATGTCACACATACAATACATTTTAGATCCTATTTATAAAATACAGTTGGCATTTTGAGAACACAGAAAAACCAGGGCTGAATATTGATGGAAGTTACGTGTCTCTCTACCCTAAAATCCTCTGCGTTCTCTTTACGCATATTTGGATTACGGAATCATTCAAAATACAATTCTAAACCTCAAAAACAAAAATAAAAAATAAATAAATAAATGTGTGTAAATTAAAAGTCACGCGGTTCGGTTGGCATCACCGCGCAGAATGTTCGTAAAATATATATCTAAACACAGCGCTAACTTTTTAGAAGTCATCGCCTAGGTCAAACCTGGGTGGGAAGGTCATGCCGTCGGAGGTTGGGCGCTGCCTTGGTGGCTAGAAAAGATAAAAAGAATACATTAAAACAATGTTTAAGATAATATGTTTACCCCTTCTTCCCTGTCTTTACCGTAGGTATTTGTAAGGGGGTTATCTTATTACGCTTATGATTAAATAAGCATTCTTAGATTAAAGGAGATCTAATTCGTTAGATGTTACATGCTAGTCACTGGACTATCTGGATGTAAACTGGACTTACTTACATTGTAAGAATGCTTTTGAGTTGACGTTAACGCTAGAATATATCATAAAGGACATTACTTAACATATCAGACGAAAGTATTAGAACACTACACTACAGTGTGCTTTTGAGCGGTATACTGTTGAAAATCTACATGAAACAGTTTACTATAATACAAATCGTTTACGAATTACATGTTGTACAATTTTCCGACAGATACAACATAAGGTTTCTATTTACAAGAAGAGGGGTTTGCCCTCACTTACAAGTCTTTATGCATTACTCGATTGAGACAGCAATCCGTTGTTTTGGTGCCTGAGATGCTGTTGATGGCTAAATTAAATAATTGAATTTTCAATAAGAGATGAATATGGTGGTTGAGAGATTGTATAGCGTGTACTGGGTATAAAGAGATAATAAAGAAAGATATACTTACAGCTGGGCTGACTCCTCTGGCAGTGGATCCAGCACGTCCCTTCGCGCGGAATTTGGCGATGGCTTGTTCAGCGAGGTCGGCGCGTTCTTCGGCTTCCTCCAATTCTTGTTGGGCCTTGCGGAATTTGGCCAAGTTGAGGGCGGCGATTTCTTCGGCTTCCTCGATCTGCCTCTTGTAGGTCTTGATCTTTTGTTGGAGTTTGTCGACCAGGTCTTGCATACGTTCGTGGTTCTTGCGGTCTTCTTCGGCTTGGAAGCTCAACTCCTTGATGCGACGTTCTGATTTCCTCAAGTTCTTCTGGGCGTCGGCGTGTCTTCTTTGTTCGCCGTCCAATTCGTTTTCCAACTCTCTTACGCGTTGTTCCAACTTGGCGATGGCCTTCTTGCCTCCCTTGAGGGCGTTGGCTTCGGCCTCATCGAGACGGACTTGGAGGTCCTTGATTTGGGTTTCGAGGGCCTTGCGGAGTTTTTCCTGGGTTTGGGCGTGGTCTTGTTCGGCGCGGAGTTCGTCGGCTAAACGAGCAGCATCAACCATAGCCTTCTTGGCCTTCTCTTCGGAGTTCTTGGCCTCGTTGAGGAGCTCATCGAGGTCAGAGTGGAGGGTTTGGAGTTCGGATTCCAACTTCCTCTTGGAGGCGGACAAGGAAGCGTTTTGGGCGGAGAGGTCGTTGAGTTGTTCGTGGGCGTCTCCCAATTCTTGTTCGGCTTGGCGACGAGCGCGGTCGGCTTGTTCCAAGAGGGTGCGGGATTCTTCCAACTCGTTTTGGAGAGCGTTGGCGCGACGTTCGGAGATTCCGAGTTGTTCGCGGGCTTCGTCACGAGCGCGTTGTTCCTCTTCAAGGGCGGTTTGGGTGTCCTTAAGTTGTTGTTGGTAGCGTTTGATGGTCTTTTGGGCCTCAGCGTTAGCCTGTAAGAAAAAAAAATGGTTTAGATTTGCATTATTGTTGGAATGTGGGTATGTTTAGTACCTTGTTGGCGTGGTCCAAAGCGATTTCCAATTCGTTGATGTCGGCTTCCAACTTCTTCTTCATGCGAAGAGCCTCAGCTTTACCCTTGGCTTCGGCTTCGAGGGAAGCTTGCATGGAGTCGAGGGCGCGTTGGTGGTTCTTGCGGGTGTTTTCGAATTCTTCTTCTTTCTCTTGGATTCTGCGGTCAATTTCTTGACGGACTTGAGAAAGTTCAAGTTGAGCGCGAAGTACTTTGTTTTCTTCTTGTTCCAAAGCGGCTTCGGCTTCTTCGAGGGCAGCTTGGAGTTCGTCTTTCTCGGCTTCCAAGCGTTTTCTTGCCTTTTCGATTTCGTGGATGTTGCGGCCACCTTCACCAATTTGGTCAAGGAGATCCTTGACTTCATCGGCCAAGTTCTTGTTTTCACGGCGGACGGCTTCCAATTGTTCTTGTCCTTCTTCGTAGGCTCCCTTGAGTCTGAACAACTCGGTGGAGTAGTTGCGGCATTCCTTCTGGCTGGCGTCGAGTTCAGCGGCAAGGTCGTCAACCTTGAGTTTCCATTCTCCAATGATCTTGTCGAATGCCTTTTGTTTCTTTTCGGCGGCGTTGGCAATGGCAGTAGCACGGTCGACCTCGAGTTGCAAGTCTTCGACTTCGGTGGCCAAACGTTGCTTGGTCTTTTCGAGAGCAACAACCTTTTGGTTGAGAGATTCGATTGTTTCTTCGGCTTCAGCCAAACGAGCTTGGAGCTTCCTCTTGGCTTCTTCGAGCTCTTCGGAGCGGGCGACACCTTCAGATTCGTATTTCTGGCGCCACAATTGGGCTTCGGCGTTAGCTTTGCTGAGTTGACGTTGGATGTCAGCCTTGGCTTCGGCTTCTTCTTCGACTTGTTCGCGGATGTTGTCCAAGTCGTGTTCCAAGTTGCGGAACTTGCCGAGAAGGGTAGCGCGCTCGCGACCTTCCTCATCGGCCAACCTCTTGGTGTCTTCCAATTGGGTGGTGAGAGATACCTTGATCTTGCTGAGTTGAGAAACTTGGGATTCGGCTTCCTCCAATTGCCTGAGGAGGTCGGAGTTTTCGATGGAAAGCTTCTTCTTTGATGCGTCGAAGTCGTTGAGAGTGCGGTTGGTTTCGTCGAGTTTGCCTTGGGTGTCGTTGAGTTGTTGTTGCAATTGTTTGGAAACCTTTTCAATGGCGGCCTAAAAGAACAAGATTATTTAGCATTTGTTTTGTTACAGGTGCAACTACACATAAAGCAAGGGCTATTAAGATTTTTCAACAATAATATTAGCGGGCTAAACACAGCAACAAATTATATGGACTCTAGAAGCAGCTCGTCCTTATTAAGCTGAAATAATACGAAGCAATACGAAGTTCCAACCAGCGAAATATACCTTTTCGTTAGCCAAATGGTCAACGGAGGCACGGAGGTCATTGAGTTCACCAAAGTATTGAGCCTTGTCCTTTTCAGCCCTAACGAAACAAGACAAAACATACATTTAACAAAGGAATCGTGCAGATACAAACAAACGGCGGCACACGTGACAGTACAATTTTTTTAGACAGTTTACAAGGGGGTTCGAAAAGTTTGTACCTTTTCACGACCCACGCCTTCAACTGCACCACGAGTTTGTTGAAGTTCAGAATAAATATTAGCACGATCTCTTTCCGCCCTATTAAATAGAAAAACGTTGCAATTGACTTTTTTTTAATTATTATATGTGTGTGTATTAAGTTCGTAAAATGTAGTATATATACTGTAAGTGATGTGAAATAAAGATATACTTACTTAGCCTTGAGTTTGTTGAGTTGGTCGATCTGCTCTCCCATTTCGGAAACGGCGTCATTGTGCTTCTTGCGGAGATTGGCGAGGGTACCTTCGTGTTGGATGTTGGATTCTTCGAGGTCACGACGCAATTTGGCGAGTTCGGCTTCACGTTTCTTGTTGAGCTCGATCTGAGCGGAGGTGGCACCGCCAGCTTCTTCGAGACGTTCGCCAAGTTCTTCCAATTCGCGGGCCAATCCAGCGCGTTGAGATTCGGCCTTGGAGCGGGCTTGTCTTTCAGCCTCGACTTCCTCTTCCAATTCTTCGATGCGGGCTTGGAGTTCCTTGACTTGCTTTTGTTGTTTGCCAACGACTGATTGTTCGTCCTCCAATTTGGCGTTCAAGGAGGAAATTTCCTTGTCCTTGCGTTGGATTGTTTGTTCCAACTCCTTCTTGTTGCGTTCAAGATCGGCGACGGCCTCTTGGGTGAGTTTCAAGTCACCTTCGATCTTCCTCTTGGACTTCTCAACATCACCGCGAAGTTTCTTCTCGCGTTCCAAGGAGTCTTCCAATTCGTCGAGAGTTTGTTCCAACTTAGCCTTAACCTTGTTCAAGTGGTTGACCTTGTCTTCGGCGGCTTGGAGTTCTTCGGCGACCTTCTGGTTGTTCTCGCCGGAGAGTTTCTTCTCCTTGTTCAACTTGTTGATGAGTTCGTCTTGGTGGGCGATCTCGTCGTTCAAGTTCCTGATTTGGTGGTCCTTGGTGGCCTTGTCTTGCTCGGATTTCTGGAAGTTAAGTTCCAAATCTTCCATATCCTTCTTGTAGCCATTGAGTTCCTGCTCCAATTTCTTCTTTTGTTGCATGAGCTGGTTGCGGGCATCTTCCTCTTGGCTCAAACGATCTTGGACTTCCTACAAGTCAAAAGATAATTTTAGAGTAAGTGCAATTTTGCACATATGTTAAAAAGTTATACGCCTCACCCTGGCATAATTCCAAAAATTCATAAAATTACGAAAAAAATTAGATAAATTTCTATTTGCCTAATTTTACTTTGAAGCACAGCCAAAATCTAATCAAAATGCAACTTAGATTGTGCTAAACCGATAATTTATATTTAGAATTATTAGATTTTTTCGAAGTGGCAAATAGCATATATCTAATATTTTAAAAATTTGTACTTACAGATAATTGAGATTCAAGATCGTTCTTTTGAGCTTGGAGTTTGTTGGCCCTTTCTTGGGTTTCGGAGAGAGATCCCTTCTCGCCTTCCAAAGAGTTGAGAAGTTCAGTCTTTTCAGCCAAAAGTTTGGCGTAAAGACCTTCCAGTTCTTTCTTGGCTTTGGTTTCACGTTCCAAAGCTTCGACGGCTTTAGCTGCTTTCTCTTCGAGTTTCTGTAAAACGATTTTTTTGTCAGGACAAATGAAATCTTCATCAACCATTTTTATCGATTTGAGTAGTCAATTAAATTCGTTCGGATCGTTGTTAAAGTGCAGTAAGAGGAAATGCAACGAATTACGCGAAGTGTCGTAGGAGACTGGAGTGAGTGCAGAAGTGCGCATACTTGCTGGATATATAGGACGCGTGGGATGACCAAGTTTGATGAAAGATTATAAAAATATGCGTTACTTATCTGACGTTGACAGATTAAGGAGGGGCTGATGTAAATTTAGATTATTTGATACAGACAGCCAGGTGAAATTTATATGTATCATAAAAATTCAGATTTATAAGATTGGGTACACGAAATCTAAAATTAAATCAGGCAATGCTGTTTACAGTTTCTAACATGCCGGTAAAAATAAAAAAGCTAATGATTCAAGAGTATTTATAAAATATGTTACACTTATGATTTGAAGTACATAAATACTGAGTTTCAACATAGATGATGACCGATATACGCGCGGCTGTTTTATAGGTGTTTACCAAAGTTTAAAAATATTTTAACTAATTGTAAATAAATTATATCAAGCAAATACTTACGGCAATTTCATCCTCGACACGGGTGACGTTGAGGAGGGGCTTGACTTTTTGCCACAACTTGTACCATGGCCAGGTACGGAGCTTGAGGTATTTGCGCAAGTTCCTTTGGCACACTTGGAGGGCCAAACGTTGTTCTTGCAACTTCTTGAATTCCTTTCTCGAGAGGTAACCACGTACCCAAGATTGCATCCAGGTGACGATTTTGCCGAGACGGTCGTCACGCAACTCTTCCATCTGACCCAAGACACCAGCGCGGAAGAATACCTACATCCCAAGAGATCGTTACTTTTAAAGTTCGTAAGCGAGAACAAGTACACTAAATGCGTCTCAAGCTTGATTGGATTAAGTTTTGCAGCTCACACTTTTTGACCACTAAAGCATTAGTTGTAGTGATAAAAACAAGTACCTTGGTTTTTCCCAAGCGATACTGTTCCTTGTCAAGAGCAATATTCTCTAAAATCACTTGAGAAGCCTTTTCAGGTGTCATAGAATCCTTTAAATGGCTGGCGGCTAATATTTTGTATCTGTACGGTTAATAACAAAATCAAACACCACATTAATACTATGACAACAGGAATGTTAGATTATTTGGGGTGGGGGCCTAAAGTACAATGTTCCAGTCTCATGGGGTTTTGTACGAAAAAACAGTGAAAACAAATAAAACGTGTACAAAGGGGACATGCCTTAGTGTGACCGAGACGGAATAATTCTTGGTCAAGCCCAGAGGCTTGCAAGATGAGGTCGGCGCATTTTTTAGGGTCGGATTCCTTGGCGACGGCAGCTGGGTTCAAGATTTGATAACTGGAGGAAATTTAACATTAGGTAAACAGTACATACACGATGTAATAGACATTATAAAAACAGAAACCGTGCAAGACATAAGAACATTTGTTTGCGACATACAAAGGGGTTTATCCCTTGCCTTAGTATGTCCCACACGATAACTGTCAGGGTCGAGACCAACTTCTTCTAGACATTTTCTGGCCGCTTCTTTGGCATCCTTCTCTTTTGCCATCGTAGCCGGAGCTAAGATCATGTATCTAGCCACGGTAATGTCAATTATTATAAAGTTCTTATACTATACATATTGAAATGTATTTTTGTGATATCTTACCGAAGCTTGAAGTCAGGGTACACCATCCTGTTGGGGAAACCTTTCCTACAGATACGGATACCTTCAAGTACACCGTTACAGGTGAGCTGGTGCATTACCAAGTGAGAGTCAATGACACCGGGTTGTTTCAATTCGTTGGGGATGATACAACGGACGAAATGGGGTTGGGTGGACCTCAATGTGGTCATCAAGTTGTTCAATTGTTCCTGTGGGGAGTAAGTAAGTTAGATTATGTATGTGCTGCCTCGAGGACAGTAAACAAACATGATTAGATGGTTTAAAAAGCTGGGTACAAGCCTTCTATGCGTTAGTTGGTTATAATTTTTGTAGGATTTTCTTGTATTTTTTTACTACAAATATTCGCCCAAATTCTTATATAAACAATGTTTATTAAACATACAAAGACATATAGTATGCATGTCTTGTAGAATAAATGAAATGATTAGCTACAAACTTTATTAAAGACATATAGTATTCATGTCTAGTATAATAAGTGGAAATGATTAGCTACAAACTTTGTATTGAAGACATATAGTATTCATGTCTTTTGTAATGAATGAAAATAATTATTTACAAACTGTTGTTTGGATATGACATTGAGTATTATGCCTTGCACAGGGGTTCATTCATATCATCCAGTACTATGTGTGGGGTGTCTCAAAAAAGTGCATAAAGAAAAAAAATAAACATTAACTCCGTCTGTGGACAATGTTTTTTCATATATCAGAACCCAAACATACCTTGTAGGAAGAAGATACAGTAGCAAAGCCACCTCCCTTCTTACCACGGCCACCACCTAATTAAATAAAATATAAAGCATAAATAATACATTGCAAAGATGTGGGATAGGGTACAATTTGGTTGGGGTGTTGTGCTGGAGAAAAGGATGTAAAGGTTCAAGTATAATTCTCAGCTCATTGTCACCTAAGAGCGAGTTAAATACCTTGTATAAACTGGATACAGTCTGGAAAGCGGAACCCTTGGTTCTCTTACTACCTATGTTTTAGATAATAGATTAGGATACAAATAATAAATCGATTTAAAGTATGGGTATGTATAGGAATAATTGGGACTTTTTATACCTTTGCCGCCAGCATCAGCTGGTCCAGTTTGACCTGGATGGTCAGCGAAGATTTCTACCAAAAGCTTGTTGGTACCCTTCTTGTACAAGTCGACGACGGTGTCGTTAAGGGGATCCTTGTTCTTCTCCAACCAACCAGTGATGTTGTATGGTACCTATTATTTTAAAAGAAATTATTATCAACTGCTTTTCTTTATACTATTACTTGATACTTACGTTACCGGCATAATGACCAAGGGTGAAGTGAGCAGGTTGCTGACCTGGCTTTGGTGGTTTTGGTTTTTGGTAGTTAGGAGATTTGCCCAAGTGATTGGTGTTCAATTTTTCTACGAAGGAAGCATCAGTAGCCTTGGGGAACATAGATTCTTCTTCAAGGATGGACAAGATACCCATAGGCTAGAGGAAATGTACACATTAAAATGTGTTTTTAACGTTAACAAAACCACAACACATCTTTACAGTGATAAAGATATCTTATGGGTAATAAGCAGATCGTGTCAAAAATTAACAAATGTTATTTTTATAAATATACGGAAAATATTGAGATGGTTAGTAAGAGATAACCAATATCGTGTATAATATAATTTGTTTTGTATATTTTGGACGCGTCTTTTTTACATACCATTCCATGAAGTGCAAATAGAAGTGATATACAAACCTTTAGATAAGTGCAGATAAATACTTAGATAGGTACGACTGTGCATATACTATTGGTGAGTATTACTATACAAGGAGTAGTGTAATATTTTTGAAATTAATTGAGGGGTGCTATAATACCTTTTCAATTAAATCTATGCATGGTTGCAAGTCCATACCAAAATCAATAAAAGTCCAGGTGATGCCTTCACGTTCGTATTCTTCTTGTTCGAGAATAAACATGTAATGATTGTAAAACTGTTGCATTTTCTCGTTTGAGTAGTTTATGCACAGTTGATTAAAGCCATTATACTGCAAGTTAGTTAGTTTTTTAGCTAGAAAATTGTTGAACTCAGTTAGTGATTGTTTTATTATAAATTAAACAAATGAGCGTTTCAACATTAATAGAAGTATTGTAGGTAAAGGCACTCGCATGTCTATAGCGTTTTATAGTGCTGTACCTTTTCAATAAGTTCAATGCAGGCTGCAAGATCCATACCAAAGTCAATAAAGGCCCATTCTATGCCTTCCCTTTGGTACTCCTCTTGTTCGAGTACGAACATGTGGTGGTTAAAGAATTGTTGCAACTTTTCATTCGTAAAGTTGATACAAAGCTGTTCAAAGCCGTTGAACTGCGTAGCAAACAAACATTAAGTACAATGGTTTAAGGAAATTCTCAACGCTTTACATAGGTGGAATCTCTACACTGTACAAGAAAACATAAAACATCGCAACACTTCACACCTGCTTCTATGTGCCATAGTCTTAGAAGCTCAAATTACCTTTTCGATCAACTCGATACAAGCGGCCAAATCCATACCGAAATCGATAAAGGTCCATTCGATACCTTCAGTTTTGTATTCTTCTTGTTCCAAAACGAACATGTGGTGGTTAAAGAATTGTTGCAACTTTTCGTTAGTAAAGTTGATACAGAGCTGTTCAAAGCCGTTGAACTGTATAGCAAACAAACATTAAGTACAAGGGTTCAAGGAAATTCTCAACGCTTTACATAGGTGGAATCCCTTATCAGTCCTACTACACACTAACGAGGATACAAAAAACATGGACTGTCACATAACTCCAAACCTGCTTCTATGTCTCATAACCTTTAGAAGACCGAATTACCTTTTCGATCAACTCGATACAAGCGGCCAAATCCATACCGAAATCGATGAAGGTCCATTGGATACCTTCGGTTTTGTATTCTTCTTGTTCCAAAACGAACATGTGGTGGTTAAAGAACTGTTGCAACTTTTCATTGGTAAAGTTGATACACAGTTGCTCAAAACCGTTAAACTAAACAAACATGGGGGATTTATGATACAAATTCAGTGATTTCCAACGCTTTCCCAGGTGGAATCACTGCTACAACTTGACGTGTACAAAACATACATAGAGGAAGAAAAACTACATAAATCACAATAGGAAGACGATGCCATCTCGATTAGTACAATTACCTTTTCAATTAACTCAATACAGGCGGCCAAGTCCATACCGAAATCAATGAAGGTCCACTGAATTCCTTCCTGCTTGTACTCTTCTTGCTCGAGTACAAACATGTGATGGTTAAAGAATTGTTGCAATTTCTCGTTAGTGAAGTTGATACACAGTTGTTCAAACCCATTGTACTACGTTACAAGTATAAATACATTTAATGCCGCGGTACACGTAACGAGTTTAACTCTTGCATGGGCAGACATTTTGTTAGTGCTAAGCTTACCTTTAGCGAGCAGCGTACTTTAATGTTAAGTTTAATAAAGCAAACCTTTTCAATAAGTTCAATGCAAGCAGCCAAGTCCATTCCGAAATCAATGAACGCCCAAACAATACCCTCACGGGCATATTCTTCTTGTTCTAGTACGAACATGTGATGGTTGAAGAATTGCTGAAGCTTCTCGTTAGTAAAGTTAATGCAAATCTGCTCGAAGCCGTTATACTAGAGAAAAAATTGTGTTATTTATAGAGTTTTGAAAGTTGTGCATTATTTAGCGAGCGTTTGCAAGATCTAACTGAAATATTTCCCCAATATTCCTCTATGTATTACAGTAGTTTAAGTAAGATTTCCACCTTGCGTTGAATTGAATATATTCGTAATTAATACTTTGTATTGTAGAAAACTTACGTCGAAAATTTCGAAACCTGCAATATCCAGTACACCAATGAAATGTTGTCTTTTTTGTTTGGTGTCAAGGGTTTCGTTACACTTCTTAACCAAAAACTTGAAGATTCTGTCAAACATGGCCTTTGACATGGCACCCACGGAGTAGGATACTTGGTTGACATTACGACCTTGGGTGACGAACTCGTTACCGACCTTGATCCTGGGCTTGCACAAAGCTTGGTACAAGCCAGGGGCATCGATACCCAAAAGTTTAGCGATACGTTCACCTTCCTGCGATCAGAAAAGAATTCGTTTAACAGTGTTTTTCGTTCGGTTTCATCAAACTTACTTCTGTACCGTCAGCTTCAGCTTGTTCCTCACGACCTCTTTGCTTGAACTTCATGCAACCCATGTGCATAACAGAGGCGGTGATCTTGTAGATATCATTTTTCTCTTCTTGGGTGAAACCAAGGATATCGAAAGCTTGCTGTTAAAACGTAATAAGCACATTAATACAATAAATATGTAGATTTCAAAACAATAAATTGCTAATGTACAGCAATTAAACTTACCAACACATAAATAAGCATAGATACAGCACAAAACAGTCGGTCGTGGAGTAATTTTTATAGAGAAAACATGTAACATTAAGGATTGTTTTATGACTGGGTAATAGTGACGTTTACAAGGTGTAAAACTTACGTCAGTTAACTCCATTTCTTCTCCATCATTTACATTTGGAATTGTTACTTTACCCTGGGCAACATTGTGGTAGTCGTAAATGTCGTTGGATAAGCAGCATATTTCTATGGAAATTTGTAAAAGCGACTTTAACAAAGCTCATATTTACAGCGTTTTAGCAGGAAAATGGTATATACAGCACTGGGTTGTGAAATAATGATTACTTTTTCGTATATACAGAAACTGGCTCCCAGAATAAAGTAAAGTCGTCATGTCGGTCGTATGATCATGCAGATCAGGGAGCAAGCAGTACCTAAGTGTCCAATTTTTTTAACAGAAAAATTTAGCAGCAAGGCTTACTCCCTGAAATTTGAATTTCAAGGGTGGCTTACATCCGTTACTTGCCCTTCTTCAGAGTCATTAACACCAGGGATTCTCGTCTTGCCCTGCGATATAAAATAATAATCGCCTACTCGATTACTTAAACCGCACATTTCTACAAAAATTAAACAGTTAGGTATCGTTGCTCTGCTCTGTTAATGGCTAAAATACAACAACGGTTAAGTTTAGACAAAGAGATATCAAATCAACAACATTCAGATCTATGCCAAAGATCTTTATGGGGTTAGTAGGGACTAACATAAACGTAAAAACATAAACCCTGTGTCGGTCGGGCCCACTTACGTCAGTTAAAGTACATTCTTCACCGTCATCAACACCGGGAATACTGGTTTTGCCTTGTGCGACAAAGTGATATTCGCTAACGGGTTGGTTTAACAAACACATTTCTGTTTATTGGGAAAAATAAAAGAGTTAATTTAATACAATGCTATGTCTCAGTTGGCATTATATTGACTATATATAGGGACTAAAACGTAAAGTTTTAGTTGTAGGGGTAATAATGACTAAAAGGGGTTGTAAAAACTAATCACATTTTACATAATGCCTTAGCAAACAGGGTTGTCTACCGATAAAAAACCTCAACCCTGTGGGTGGAGTCACCCACTTACGTCAGTTAAAGTACATTCTTCACCGTCATCAACATTGGGGATAGTGGTTTTGCCTTGGGCAACAAAGTAATAATCCGAGATGTCGTTAGATAACAAACACATGTCTAGATTTAAAGAAGAAAAATATTAATTTTATCAATGATAATACTAAGTGACTATGTTGAATTGTAATCATGTATTTCTGTAGGTTTCATCACTGATGAACAGATGGACAATGGGGAACAAGTGACCCTAGTTTATGTAAGATTGAAATAATTAAAGGATTATACTTTCAAATATTATTTAAAAGTACTGCCTTAACTATTTCAAAAGCGTGTAAACGTGTTATACCTTTAAGTCCTTTCACAGATCCAGACATCATCTGGTAGAAAATGTGGTAGGATCTCTCCAAAGTTTGTTGGGAGATGACACGAGCCTTTTCAAGCAAGTCTAAGGGAAAAAAATAGTTAATACTTGAGATATTGATAATAAAGTTCGACTTACAAGTTTCGATATCAGCACCAGCCAATTTACCAGTGGGGCCGAAGTGAATACGGATGAATTTACCCTATTCGGAAGGATACAGTTATATTTTTGAAAAATGTAAGGGTTTGGATAACTTACGAAACGGGAAGAGTTGTCATTACGCACGGTCTTAGCGTTACCGAAGGCTTCTAGCACAGGGTTAGTTTGTACGACCTGATCTTCCAAGGATCCCTTCTTCTTATCTTCTTCGGTCTTCTTTCCGGCACCAACGGTGGCGAAGTAGGCAATTACCTTTTTCGTGTTTTCAGTTTTACCGGCACCAGACTCACCAGTAATCAACATAGATTGATTTTCGTGGTCTGAAAGAAAAATACATTAAGGCGGTTCAGTTACGCGATGTTTTCGGACTTACTGTTGAGCATGTTAACGTAGGCACCGTCAGAAATGGCGAAAATATGGGGTGGCACTTCATTACGCCTCTTACCACGGTACAACTTGGCGCAACGGTTGGTGTATACTGGGAAACGCTTGTAGGGGTTGATAGCGACGCAGAAAAGACCGGAATAAGTCTGGAAACATTCAGAAAAAATGTTATGGAAGTGCACTTAAGGATGTTAGTGTTTTGAAAACAGACTGAAAACGGCCAGATTTGTAGTTTCTGGTACAGATTCAACAGGTTCAAAATTCAAGATGTAATTGTTAGTAAAAATATTGATATAGGATTGACAAAAAAACAAAAACATATTCCCTTTAGGTAATGTTTTATGGGAATAGTTTAAAAAAAGGGTTAAACATAAAATAGAAAACTTGGTTTTGGGGTGTATTCCTTTTAACCATTGAGTCCAATAGGGTTTTCTCGAAAAAAATCGACAAATTCCGACTTACGTAGATGAGCTTAGCATAGTATCTTTGTTTCAAATTGTGCAAAACGGAGGCGTCATTAAGGTATGTCAAGTTGGACATATCCTCGGCTTTTTCATATTTGGGAGGATTGACTTGAGTGACAAGGTCTTTTTTGAATGGTTTTTCCTATCGAAGAGAGAAAACATGTTAATACCGTGGTTGAGATACTTACGTATATGAGTTTGGCGTAATAGCGTTGACGGAGATTGTGCAAAACTGCAGCATCGTTAAGATATGTCAAATCTGCCATATCCTCGACCTTTTCGTATTTTGGAGGGTTCACTTGCGATACTTGGTCTTTTTTGAAGGCCTTCTCCTACGCTCAAAATAAGTGTATAGTGATTAAGTCAATAAATATCATCAATGATATAAAAACTTGTTTTAGCCCTTACAAGACTCCCCGATGAAGCTGTATCATCGAGACGTCTTGTAAGGGCTCTTACAAATCTTCTTTATTATTTACAATTTCATTTTCAAGTTAATAACAGGTGTATCGTCATGATTTCGATATTTATTGACTTTTATCGTGGACGATTTGTTTACCTCTCCTCCGGGAAGTCCTACGGTGATAAGGTCTCCTTTGGTTCCCCTGATTTCTCCAAGCAAGAAACCTTCCTTGTCGTCCGGCACCCAGCATGACTTTTTGGCGTCGTAGGGTTTCGATTGGTCGATACGTTTCTGTTCCAAAGAAACGAACAAGTATGGGGTTGGATCGGGATCATCCCCCTCTTGTGCTTGTGGTTTTGGCATGTTGAACGGACGAGAAGTGGGCTATCGAGACACGTAATACAGCCCTAGGAGCCTTCCTGCATCGGGAAAATGTTTTATCATTCAGGTCCTTCAACTTTGGATGCAATCGCAATTAGTTATGAGCAAAGATATGCCGTATTATTATATCAAGACGAAACTTTTTGAAAGGGGTATTGCTTGGATACCAAGTGCAATACCAAACATTAATTGCATATAAAAAACTTTGTTCATAAATAATCTTAATTGCTACAAATAAATTTTACCAGAATACTTTAAAGAATTTTATTAGTTAAAATATTGACTTAAGAGTAGAAAACAATGTTTAACATAAACTCTTAATCCATAATATTTGTATTAACCATAAAAATATTTAGAGCATCTGGTCAGATGAGATCAATTTAATTTCTAAGTTTATATTATGTTTATAACATTTAAAACCTTTGGTTGATAACTAAAGAACTATTTATTTGTTCTTAAATGCTATAAACAACTATCACTCAACGTGTTCTCTATCAAGTGAAGTTTCGTTTCAGTTATTTCAGGCTCTACCTACAAGTTTTCTTCGCGCAAAACAAAACGTCTAAATCGAAAATAATAACCCAATTAAGTAGGCAATGCCTCGCGTCTATATTTAGCCGCAGTATTTGTGGCAACTAACGAAATTGTGCGCGATGCCAAAACTTTTCAGCATTGTTGAACTATTTGGCACGAAAATGGTGTTACAGAACCGAAGCGATTGTTACGTAATAAAATCTCAGGTTGTACCGAAATTGTGTTCTATTTTTAGACGTTTGTTCGTCACGATGATGAAATAACGATTCTTCAATTAAAACAATTGCAGGTCTACGCCCCAACGTTAAAAATAGACTGATCAAAGATCTCGCCCATTTAAGGATTGACAAATATTTAAAAAATTCAAGATGGCGGCTAAAGTTTTTGATTATGCAAGTTAAACAAAAACACATTATTGCTGAAGAAAACTGTGGTATCCTACTATATGGAAATAGTATTCTGAAAATGACTAGCAATCGTTAAATGCACCCTTAAAGTCCTTTGCACAATGGGTATGACTTTGAAAGAACAATTCACACAAACTTCACTTGTTTCACACTCTAACAGTCCAATAATCGCAATGGTAACACATTGAGTGATAGCAGGAATACACACTTAATTGCACTCACGTTCGCAGGCGTTCTGAGCGAGTCCAATGCGATTACAACAAATATAAATGAGTGACACCGTATCCCAAAATACAACGAGCTCTGCTATTGGTCCAGTAAGCCGGCGTATGAGACCGGCCGTTAGATTTCTGACGGTCTGCCTTTTTAGGATCACCGAGCGTCTCTTCCAGCCAGAAATACATGGTTTTTGGGGGCGGGAGCGCCGGGGGGCAGGGGGAGCACAGCTCGATCCCGATGAGTTGGTAGGGAACGGTTTTGGGTACAATAACCCAATGGTTCAGATACGGTGAGATAATTGGCGGCGGTGCTCCCTGCTGTTCAAGGTTTCTGGATTAAGCCTTTTAGAGATTTATTAATTTATACCTGTTGCTTGCAATACAAACTTTAGAAATTCTAACAATTTTTTTTTAATAAAAATGTGTTTTAGTCTCGATCAATTTGTTTTTTTATTTTTTTAACTAAATTGGAAAAATAATTAAAAATATACCTATTTAGTCAAAAAAAATTTCCAATTTAATTTAGGTACTAAAATAATTTATCCAAACTTTTGCTTAATTATATTTATACTTAATAGAATATTTTTTGACAAAAACACCCCAATTAAGCACCACCCTATTTTTAAATTTTTGATTTAGTTTTGCTGAACTATTCGACTATAACAATATTATTATAAAAATTATAAAAAAGATTTTTTTTTGTTAAAAATCGTTACGTAGGTACTCGAACTTTATTTATATACTAATAAAAAATTGTTTTAACCTTGACATAGACTTATTTATGTAAGTATACAAAATTATATTCAATCGTTTACGAGATATTTAAAATTGAAGTTGCTGAAATTCAAAAAATTAAAGAAAACACACAAATTTGGTTCATTTTGGGAAAAATTTAGGTTAATTGTCGGATAAGTTCTAATATTGCGTCCATATATTGCATACCTATGCTTTTAATTTTTATAAAAATATAAATAAAGGCCCGTACTTTTTTAAAAGGGAAGGGGTATGTTGTGATACATCTTTTGAAAGGGCATTTAATTTTCTTTAAAATGTAGATTCGTTTTTGCCGCAGATAAATTTAATTTAATTTTTTTGATTAGTACTTACGTATTATCTTATTAAGTGTTGAACATGTCCGCCGTTCACCTTCTTACAATAGTACAGCAAGCAAGTGTTTCCGGACATTGTGAAGAATATTGAAATCAACGGGAGATAAATCTGATGATCTCGCGGGCCATTCGATAGGACGTTTTAGATAATCATAAATCAGCGCTTGGTTGACGGCATTCTCCAACAAGTCTAAGTAAGTAGCTCCATTTAAATTTCCCGGTAAGAAAAATGGTCCAATTATCACAAAAAATCACCAAACTTTTAATTTTTGAGGATGTTGAGTATGAACCTCATGAAATATCCTTGGATTCGTGTCGGACCAATAACGACAATTATGACGATTGACAATGCCATTGAGAAAAAATTTACATTCGTCTGAAAAGCAAACATTAAAAAGGTAGTTGGGAGTATTTCTAATTATTTCTGACATTATTTCACAAAATTGTAAACGACGGTCATTATCACCCAAGCTGAATTTTATATGGGTGCCATTTATTATGTTCTAAGAAAGGATTCAAAAATTAATCCTGTGCATCCGCCATTTTTGAAAGTATTTAACAAATGAACGCATTTTGATGAAATTTGGCATGTAAGTGTCTTCGAGGACACTGTATACATGACCCTTTAATTTTTCTCAGAGCCACGCGAGAAAAGCCACAGTTATACAGCCAGTGTTAATATAAATTTATTATAACGCCGAACATAAATCTAATTAAAACATTAAGTCCTGCTTAAATAAATTGAATGTAGTTAGCACATCCGATTATTTAACGGGTCCGAAATAAATTTGAATCTGTGATAACAGTAACTAGACGTGCCAAACGGCTCCAAGTATATAATTACCACTACGGAAATTTTGATATTTGCCAAGATTATTTTATCGTACTATATGATCCAAAATTTATGATGTACCTACCTAATTATCATTATTAATGGGATAATTAGGTTTTAATATATACAGTGCGCACGCAAAGTCCCCCCCTGTTATCTTTTGAACGAAAAAAGGTATCGACTTCGGACAGAAACCATTGTCAAGGATATTAAGTATACTACTTTTTGACGTCAAATTTAAACTTGTGATACATTATTTAAAAGGTATTTCGATTATCTATTCGATGCTATTTAATTTTTTTTTAATCCGTTTAACGGTTGCTAAGTATTTGAGCATTTGAATATACTTAATATTCTCGACAATCGTTTTCTGACCATTTTTTCTATAGTTAGGGTCAAACTAAAACAACAAGTTTATAAAGATAACTGTTTAAGCAATGATTTGGAAAGATTAAAAAACAAACTCAATTTTTAATTTTTTTTTAACGAAGTTAATATTAGGAATTAGTATACTTAATATCCTTGACAATGGTTTTTGTCCAATAGCGTTACCTTTTTTCGTTCAAAAGATAATAGGGAGATGCACTGTATATACAGGGTGTTATGTAACTAATATAATTTATAAACTTTTTTTTCTAAATTCTAAAGACTAAAAATTATTTATAGTAACCTTTATCCTACCAAAAAGTAGGCCACTGATCGACTAGGAACTTTAGGCTAATCTGGTTGCCTAATTTAATTTACTAAGTTATGGTTGGTAACAACCAGCGTTTCCAGAATCAGTCAAAAAAAGTTGCCAGATTTTGTTTAAATTTAGCTTAATTACAAAAATGACAAAATCAACAATGCAAATTGTTAATTTGTCGTTTTTATTAATTGTTTATTATGTAATTTTTGTAATGAAGGTAAATTCAAACAAAATCTAGAAACTTTTATGACAGAATCTGTTACCATTAATTAGTGCATTTCTTTAAAATTTGAGTAAACAGAAAGAAAAAAACCATTGAAAAATTTAATTTTGTTGGCTTGGAGTTTTTAAAATAGGTATTAATTTTTTAATAATTTCTTAAGCTACATACAACTTTTGTATTTATTGAGTTTTTATTTATTTTTTGCAAGAAAAAATTTTAGTGAAATTTTTTTACAACTGGCATCGCGCAGCTGCTTTGTTGGTTGGTGTCGATGTACTCACAAAACACAAGTGTGTAACCAGTGGCGTACCTATCTCAAAAAATATAAATACTTTCAATGCATATTTTTTCTATATCTTTGGGAAAATATTTTTTTAAATATTTTTCCGTTACACTTTCTGTCAAAAGGTATTCAGTATTTTAATACATTACATTAATTACATAACACCTTGTATATTCAGGCACCATATGTATATCGTCATATTCGGAATATGATATTCCTGCCAAAAGTCACTAACTGATATTTTGTAAAAATGATAACCAATTAAACTTAACTATACAAATTTACCAAATCTTTAATATGTAAAAGCCACTATACCTATGCCTAGAATCACTATAGTTTATAAAGTGATGTAATAGATATATTTATTTGCTTATTTATTTAAGTTATAAAGTTTTAAAGTGCTCTTTTAGTTCCACCCTTACATCCAAACTAAGATGTCCCATAAGCCAACTGAATGGCTTGAGCGGGTTAGGGGTAGGAACGGACCGACGGCTTAAAGTCCCCTCCGAAGGACTATACACAATGTACAAACACAAATAAACAACCATACCCAAGTGGGATTCGAACCCACGACCTCTCGGCTCGTACCCAGGAGCTCTGACCACTACACCACCGAGGCCGGTATTTTATCTTGAATATCAATAATAAAATGTTAGTTAGTGACTTTTGGCAGGGATATGACGATATACAGGTTGTCTATTTAAAAACGAGCAATTCTTCTGGACCTAAAAAATATATCAGAAATTTCTCAAAACCGTTTCTAGGATATGTGGAAGAAATTAGTATGAACACAAAAATGACTTTAAAATACTTTTTAATAGTTTAATTTTTGAAAAATGCCCAAAATAATTTTTATAATTATTAATTCCAATTTCTATTTTTTTATATTTTCTGCATCTTATTTAAAAAGCTAAACATTAAAGTGTTTTAATTATTGCTAAACAATTTCTTTATTTATGCTTTTTAGTTTGTTATACTTTTGTTTTGTTTAAATAGACATCATGTATCTTATCCTAAAACTTTTTGAAGCATATGAAGTATTTACGCGATGGATAAGTACAAAAATAGCTTCTTCGGATTCTATTCATAAACTGGGTTAGCAGTGAAATATAAAACAAACTTAACTTCCAGAATACTTTGCTACTAGCGATTATAGTTAAAAAGTTTCACGTCTAAAACATAAGGGTCTCTAAATGAAAACAGATTTTTTCATCCATTAATTATTACTGTTTTTATGTCATATTATTTATAAAAACAGTAAATTTTATTTCTCTCAAAGGTTAGACGCTAAAGACGAGAGTTAGCTGATCTAAAATAAAAACTCTATCCCACACACATATTTGAATCAGGTACGTTAGTACAATACCTACATTGGCTATTTTCTATTTTAACTATAACCCAAAATCTTATTTAATTTTTGAAACCATATGTTACAAGTATTTTTAAAATAAAACCTACTTTTTTAACGTTAGTAGAAAGTATTTTAAAACGAAAAAAATAAAGAATGTTCCACATTTTCAAAAACATATTTAGAACTCTTTTAATAGATTTACTACTTTCCACTGGGTGTAGCTAATTTTATTTTATTTAGTCTTACAACAATAATTTGATAAATATAGATATTGATACTTTTATTTTTTACTGTTCATTGTACTTCAGAATTAATTGTGATTTTTTCAAAATGGGCTCCCAAACCCCTCTATAAAGCGTTTTTAACACTATATTCGCAGGAACTGCTGTAAAAAATGGAGCCGACCCTGCCTAAAATTAAAATATCATTCGCAAAATTGACTATTTATTGATTCATTCGCTCGCCAGTTAAATTAATTAAACCGAGGGCCATAATTTTTTGAAAGTGTCATTTGATAACATTAGACAATAAAATCGCCATCTAATAATACCAAGAGCAAATTCAACGGGTATGAATTCCTTGGCACAAAATCAATTATTAGGTCCAATCTCCCGAAGCATGAAAGCATTTTATCGCCATTTATTTTGATAATTTGGGCAGAACCTGCTGGGCCGTGAACGATACAGAAAAAAGCGATTTTCGGAAAACACAAATAAATAGAACAGGGACAAAAATATCACTTGTGAGTCAGATATGCAGGTTGGCATCAACTGTGCTCCAATAACCTGAGAGATATGTTTCGTCTATTCCACCTTCGGTTACATTATTTTGTTTGTTTCAGTATCCGATAATTTATATTTCGTTTACAAAAAATTGCTTTTTTCTTTATTTTTTTAAATTATTATTTAATCCACATTCTTGTAGAAAAATGTCCGCTCTACAAAAAAAGTCTCTTACGATTTTTTCCTAAATTCAACCATTTAAATGATATATATGGTTAAAGTAGCTCATTGCAAAATTGGAATCTCTTCTTAATTTTATGTCTGGGACATTGGTTTTACTCACAATTAGTATACAAAAGTATACAAGTGTGGAAATAACTTACAGCACGCTAATATCTCTAACATGCTGTGATATTTTTATACAGTATCCCGCGTATAGACAGAGACAGGCTATAAATATAATTGAATTCTTTTATTTTAACATATTGTATAGGTATTGTTAATTATTTAATTTTTTGTTTGACATGAGTATTATAATTTAGGAAGGTAGGTATAGTACCTATAATTGTGTATTTCTGTGAAATACCAACATAAACGTTTATATTACGAACTAAACTTTTTGATTCACCAAAACCGTCATAGAACTTTTTTTAGGAGGCTTGTTGTTTACACATTTCCAAATGTTAAATTTTCACAAATTCCTTTAAGATTATGCATACAATTTACTCACTACTTGAATCACGCATATTCAAGCCAAAATTTTGCCATTAAGAATCACACCGGTGTCATTTGGTTTATAATTTATATTTTAAATTAAAATGTACCTACTAACAGATTTTTATGTTCAAAATATTAAAAAAAAATTAATTGGATTATATATTTTTTAACCTAATATAATTTTTTTTAAGTAATAAAAGTAATAGATATAAAACGTTTTACTACCTAATGAAACATTACTAAAAAGATTTCCAATGGTACAATTTGGGGGCCAAATAATTAAAAAAACATGATTTACATATACCTATAATTTTATTTTTTAAGATACCTAAGTAAATGAAAAAACATGATTTTTCGTTTTAATTATATTAAATTACAAATAAATTTAATTACAACAACTGATGAAAGCAGTGTAACAAGATAATAAACATTTTGAAATTTGTGATACGCGCCATTACATCCATCACCTTCACAAATATTACATTTTTTTACAAAAAAATCTTTTTTTGTTTCCAAGCAAGTGCTACCTGATTCGCATTTTCTAATTATTCCTGTTTTGTCACTTTCTGAAAACATATTTTATTAGTAATTGAACAAATAAATTAAATATTTTGTAGTTTTAATATTAGGGTTGTTCCTACCGAGCATTTGGACTGTCATATGGACCTTAAAGACATGCGCAACTGTAAAACATATTTTCATCCATTCGACAGTCCAATTCTCGTTGGGAACAAACCTATTATCACTGGATTTCCTTAAAAATAATATTATTATAATTATTACAAACTTTTAAGATAAATAATTAGTCTACTAACTACACCTTGAAAAAAATGTCCATAAAAATTTAAAATTTATGATAATAAAATACCTACCCAATCGTACCTCAATTGTGGAGCATAAAGTTTCAGAAATTTCGCATGGTAACAATGGTAAATTTGATTCCTTAGGAGTTTCGCATTTTTCGCTAAGAAAACACTGGTAACATTTTAATGCTTGACCTTAAATTTAACACAATTTAGCATGAAGTAAAATGGAGCAAGTTAAACTTACTATTATTAACACACACTAAAAATAAGATGGATATAAAAACAATCACCTGCATTTTAACGTCGGTAAAATGATTTTACTCAAAAGATTGCAATCTGGTTTATCAAAAATAAAATAGATATATACTTACCTTATCAAAAAGTGATAATATTTGGTTATTTACAATAATTTGCAATAGATTAAGCCTTCTGGATTAGTGAAAGGAGATAATAATTTTAAGTAGAATAATTAATTTTATATTTTTTTGTAATACAAACACATACTTGCATGGGTGGTGTTGGAACAAGCCTAAAACTTATGGTAGGCAGCTCTAAAACGCGTACCTTTAATCCCTAAAGTTGGTATCAAATTCTTAGGTTGGTATCAATGTTCAATTGACGTTTACTAGCAGAAATGTCAGTTTTGTTTGATGCCATAATATTTTCTAAATTTCCTTAATACAACACGAAAAAATGCTTTTTTTAATTTAGTTAGTGTGTAATAAACAGCCTTAAGATGAATAGAGTCAGTAACGGTGAGTATTTTACGGTATGAAGCCCAATTTTTCTATTTATCTAAAATTGCTCTATTTCAGGAAATTCGACCATGTCGAACGCGTTAAAAGAAAAATCCAAGGACTGGCAGCTGGAAATACTGATGGAAAAGCTTCGGTCGAAGGCGACGCAGTTTAAAACTCTGCCGGAGATATCGAAGAATGTTAGGATGGCAATGCTTGTAGGTTATGTTATCAAAAGCAGTTTTCGGTGTTTGTAGCGTTTTGATTTCAGGATAAACGGTATGCTTTGGATAGCGTGGATAAAAGTCAGCACCAGAAATGTTTGGACACGCTGCAACACTCTATTAAAGTCACTTCTTTGCAAAGTATGATCGAGAGGTTGGAGAGTTTAACAAGGCAATTAGGGTATGTTTAAAGTCAATTTTAAGAAAATTAATGATGGTAGAATGTAATTTTAGGCTTAAATTTGTGGTGGAAGCGTCTGGTGTGTTTATATCGTCCGATATGTTTTACTTGGAAATAGTGTTAGATGCAAGTGGTACTGTTAAAGATGTAAAGATCCACCATGAAGGTAAAATGGAGCAGCAAAGCTGCATGGAGCTTGTAAATTGCTTGTCTAGCGGCGATTTTGACGATTTTACCGCCCAATTGGAAGGTTTTACGTCCATATATCAGCTGAATGCTGAAAAGAAGGTTAAGTGTAAAGCTTTCACTGCTTTAGAATCGCTGGAGGCTGATTTGACCACTTTGGCGCAGTTACAGGTAGGATTTCTTGTTACTTTTGAATTATTTGAAGTTTTTTTATTTGGATCAAATTGTAAGATATTAAAAAACGTATTTTATGTAAATTTCCGACTTAATCGACAAATATCATCATAACTAATTTGCTAATTCACACAAAATATTCATAAATTATATACATAAATACCTAAATTAATTTTTGAGACAGATGTGTCTTAATATTTTTATATTAGGAACATTCCACATCAAATCAAACACAATAATTTTTAACACTTTTAAAGCTGGGTTCTAACAGAAAAATAACATAACATAACTTTAAAAAGTAATGTAATTTAAATTAACAGGGAGTGTTTAAAATTATAAACAATATTTTAAAGAAAGTGCTTACCTCATGTATCTAAAACTTATGTTACCTTGGCAATTACAGTCGAAATATTTTTGTTATTAATAAAACTGATAGTCAAAATTGGTTAGATTCTCTCAAAATAGGTTAGATTAGTAATAAAGTAATTTAATGTAAAAGATAAATGTTTGCCAAATTAATTAAATTAAATTATTTATCTGTTAGAATTCAGCTTAACTCTTAAGCCTGAATTATAGATTGCCTTCCTTCCTTCCTCCCTTAGACGTGCCCGTACGATTTGTGCGTCTTGTAAAAAGTCAATTTATAGATTTCTGTGTAAAATTTCATAACCATGGGCGATGACACCTAAAATGGTTGACATTTGTTTTTGTTTATATTTTGCGTTTTACCCATTGTGTGTAAATTTGAAAGATAAACATTTATATATTAGTGCAGTGATCACAATTTCAATTGCCCAGGCAGCTTGTTGTATAATGAAAAAAAAAAACATCGAACAAGACATTGGAAGACTCGCCCACTTTACCAAGACCGGGAAACTACGGGGTTTTACAAAGCAACGTTTCTAAAAATGAAAGACATTGATCATAAACAATATCTAAATATCCTATTTAGAGACACAAATTATTTAATAAACTGAACACCTATCTTAAATAATACTAAACAATTATGTATTTTAAATATTTTGTGCCTAAGCGCTGTCACCCTACAGCGCATGTCCATAACAAGCACTGTGATTGGTCATGTCAAAGACCTTTACGGTGAAAGATAAAACTTAAAATTTTCTACGGGAGGAAGGAATGCCGTCCTTACGGTACGGGAATCTATAAATGGCAATACGAAATTTCGTATTGTTCATCTTCTACGGGAGGGAGGAAGGAAGGCAATCTATAAATCAGGCTTAAATTACTATTATCTATGAATGTCCCGTAAATTGTCAATAATGACAGATAACAGATGTCAGTTTATTTTGTTTTGTATTTTAGTTTTATATGGGTCATTTTTGACATCTGCTTTAGCTCATTTTTGACATATTTTATGGATTATTTCTTACATCTGTCACCTGTCATTTTTGATGTTTTAACAGGAATTTAACTCGAAACAATTAATAGTCAAAAACCTGTAAAACTTTATGCTTCAAAATATTGATTTTAAAAAATTATAGTTGGAATATTTTATTCTATAAAATTATTGGTTTAAATTACACATTACATTTAAATGTAAGTTTTAAATTTGAAACTGGTAATTTTTGGATTAAAAAATGTATCAACTATCATTTATTTATTTATTTATTTATTTACATCATCTTACAGTCCTTGGACCAATTACAAGATGAGATATTAACCTAAACTAAATATATCACATGAAAAAAAATGTTATAATATGGAACGCCGTTTTGCTATTTAACATTCTCTGAAATAAATATTTTATTTCAGTTTTCGGTTTTTATTTTACTTTATATTTTGCAACGACTGATATTTATGTCAATTTAAATGCTTGACAATTGAAATACACACTATTTTCTTTAAGTATAATTAGAAACAATCGCATATATTATAGGTATTATATTTATTATTGCGATACTCATGTATATTGTACAAAATATTTTCTATGCTTTAAAATTTTATTTTTGCAATAGTTTTAAATTTTAAAAACAAGCATGTAAATATTATTAATTTTCAATAATGTGTACAAAATTATAATTGGTGTGTATTGCAGAAATTAATTTTTGCAATTGTCATGTATTTTAACAATGTATTTTTGCAAATTGTCGCGTATTGTAAGAATGAATTTTTGCGATTGTCGTATCATAAAATTAAATTATTGCCTGTTGCATTAATTTATTTTAACAATAATTACAATACAGGAGAATTAAATTATTTAATTCTCGTGTATTGTAAAAATGGTGGTAGAACTGTTGCGTTAAATAAAATCCCTAAAAATTCCCCAACCGATACCTTTAATTAGACAACCTATATTACACTTGACCCTAGATATTTTTTTTGGATTTAAATTAAATAGAGTCTATTTTTTATTAAATGCATGTACACAAAATAGATTTTCTTTAGAGAGTAAAAAAATAGACTTTACTTAATTTAAATTCATAAGAAATATGTATTGGGCCAAGTGTAATCTGGGTTGTCTACATAATTAAAGGTATCGGTTGGGGAATTTTTAGGGATTTTATTTAACGCAACAGTTCTACCACCATTTTTACAATACACGAGAATTAAATAATTTAATTGTCTTATATTGCACTTATCGTAAAAATGAATTACGGCAATAGGCAATAATTAAATTTTAATACACGTCAATTGCAAAAATGTATTCCTACAATATGCGACAATTGCAAAAAAAACATTGAATATTAAATAGTAATTTGGCGTGTGTTTTTGGTACGCCGTTTTACTTTTTATTAAATAAATATTCTAGTTACATTAAATAGTAAACCAGCGCGCTATGTACCTAGCAAATTCATTTAATAAAAAGTAAAACGGCGTACCTAAAACTCGCGCCAAACTACTATTTAATAACATTCCATGTATTGTAAAAATGTATTTTTGGAATTATCGCTGATTGTAGAAATTAATTTTTGCGATTGACGTACATTAAAATTTAATTGTTGCCTATTGCAGTAATTAATTTCTATAATAATTACAATACAGGACAATTAAATTATTTAATTCTCGTGTATTGTAAAAATGGTGGTAGAGCTGTTGCGTTAAATAAAATTCCTAAAAATTCCCTAACCGAAACCTTCAATTAGACAACCCAGATGACACCTGGGAAGATATATATTTTTTATGAATTTAAGTTAAATAAACTTTATTTTTTATTGAATAAATGTACATGTACATTAGGGTGTCCCTTATTTTTATTTTTTTTACGCATACCCTCTAATTATATTTATTACGTGTTTATATACTCCCAGTAAAAATTTCAGCTCATTCTATAAACGGGAACCCGTGCCGACTTGCATCTGAACCCTCCGTTAGCCAACGTTAGGCGCGCGGTATTTTGTAACACAGTTGGTCGCGAGGTCTTCGATCGTAAGTCATTTTGTGTTTGTTATATTATAAATTATTGACAAATGTTAAAATATAGTTTTATTTATGTGTATACTTTGATAAAAATGTATATTTTCACAGGGAGTAGCTAGTTACCCGGAAGGGTCTATTGAATAGGCCGTAAACTCTGAAATTGATAAAATTAACGGGTTTTACTCTAAATAACTAAAAGAGTCTATTGTGAGAGATGACTACCGAAAACTTATTGAACTGTCTGAAATATTTTTGGGAGGACATCAAGAAAAGAAATGCTTATAAAAAGCTGAAATTTCATATAACAGTATATTTTAGCAATACTAATTAGTATATTAATATATTTAAGGGATACAATCAACTAAATTAGTGAAACAAATGATAGAAACAAAAGCAATAATATTAATTAGTAATCATATTTAATAAAATCATTAGAAAAATACAGTCATGAAGTATATCTTCTTTTTAAAGTGTTTCGTGTTACAAAATAACGCGCGCGCCTAACGTTGGCTAACGGAGGGTTTAGATGCAAGTCGGCACGGGTTCCCGTTTATAGAATGAGCTGAAATTTTTACTGGGAGTATATAAACAAGTAATAAATATAATTAGAGGGTATGCGTAAAAAAAATAAAAATAAGGGACACCCTAATGTACATGTATGTAAAATATAATTAGTTAATAGAAATTAATTATCAACTCTCTAAATAAAATCTGTTTGTGTACATGTATTTAATTAAAAATATACTTTTTTAATTTAAATTCATAGAAAATATGTATCATACCAGGTGTAATCTGGGTTGTCTAATTAAAGGTATCGGTTGGGGAATTTTTAGGGATTTTATTTAACGCAACAGTTCTACCACAATTTTTACAATACACGACAATTAAATTGTAGAAATGAATAACTGCAACAGGCAATAATTAAATTTTAATACAAGACAATTGCAAAAATTCAATCCTACAATACGCGACAATTACAATAATGCATTTCTACAATACATGACAATTGCAAAAATTCATTTCTGCAATACACACCAATTAAAAAAAAGCCCAGCCCATTGTAAGAATTTATTTTTGCAATAAGCGACTGTTACCAAAAAAGTTATGAGTTGTTCCTTAAATTTTATTTAATTTTTGTATTAGTGAACATATTTATTTCTATTGAATTTCTTTTTTTAAATTATTTTTGCAATTCTGTTAAAAACGTAAAACTACAAATGCAATAGATTATATTTTATAAGCAATTTGTGCCTAGGTATTGTTATTATTCCTACATTATATATATATATATATATATATATATATATATATTATATTTTTTAAATTTGATGCAAAATCCCGCTTTAATTTGCTATTAATATTAACAGTACCTACTTTTAATGTAACTTACAGTGGAATATTATTAAATAGTAATTTGGCGCGTATTTTAGGTACGCCGTTTTACTTTTTAATAAATTAATATGCTAGTTACATTAAATAGTAAAACGGCGCGCCATATTATAATAAAATGACTTTACAAATTTAAACCCAAACTTTTTATTTTTAACAATTTTAAATTGATACATTTTTAACAGAAAATGTATAACTTTACATTTAAATGTAAGTCGATAATTTTTAAT